TTCAACAGACCAATACGATCCTTCCTTTTGCAACTCCTGCGCTGGCTTTGAACCCAATTTCCAAGTTTTGGATCTGCATTGTTGTTGCGTGGAACCTGAGTAGTTCCATGTTTCTGTTTGTATTCTACAAGGCGCTGATACATGTTCTCCCATCCTTCATCACCCCGCTGGTCTCCATTCCAGACAAATCCAATTTGATTCAACAGACCAATACGATCCTTCCTTTTGCAACTCCTGCGCTGTTCGTGAACCCAATTTCCAAGTTTTGGATCTGCAATGTATATGTAAGGAACACAAGTAGTTCCATGTTTCTGTTTGTATTCTACAAGACGCTGATACATAATGTCCCATGCTTCATCAACCCTCTGATCTCCATTCCAGACAAATCCAATTTGATTCAACAGATCAATATGATCCTTCCTTTTGCAATGTTTACGCTGGTGTTTCACCCAATTTCCAAGTTTTGGATCTGCTTTGTAGTTGCGAGGAACCTGAGTAGTTCCATGTTTCTGTTTGTACTCTACAAGGCGCTGATAAGTGTCCTCCCATGCTTCATCATCCTTGTAGCTACCATTCCTAAGCTTCCAGACAAATCCAATTTGATTCAAAAGGTCAATACGATCCTCCCTTTTGCAACATGTGCGCTGGGTTCTTACCCAATGGCCAAGTTTTGGATCTGCTTTGTAGTTGGCAGGAACACAAGTAGTTCCATGTTTCTGTTTGTACTCTACAAGGCGCTGATACATGTTCTCCCATGCTTCATCATCCCAGCAGCTATGATTCCTATGCTTCCAGACAAATCCAATTTGATTCAACAGACCAATACGATCCTTCCTTTTGCAACCGATGCGCTGTTTAGATACCCAATTTCCAAGTTGTGGATCTGCTTTGTAGTTGAAAGGAACCTGAGTAGTTCCATGTTTCTGTTTGTACTCTACAAGGCGCTGATACATCTTCTCCCATGCTTCATCACCCCAGTAGCTACAATTCCTAAGCTTCCAGACAAATCCAATTTGATTCAAAAGGTCAATACGATCCTCCTTTTTGCAATGTGCGCGCTGGTGTCTTACCCAATTGGCAAGTTTTGGATCTGCTTTGTACTGTTGAGGAACACAAGTAGTTCCATGTTTCTGTTTGTATTCTACAAGACGCTGATACATAATCTCCCATTTTTTGTTGCTTGTTGTCAGCCATTCTTTCTGCCATGGTTTTGATTCGTATTCAATGGAGTTTTGGCTTGCATATGCCGATGATAGCGAAAGTGACTGTGCATTGGTCTCATTTCTTGTATCTTTTGGTTGGAAAATAGATTCCAGGCTGTCGTGGTCGCTTTCACTGCTGACGTCCACAAATGTTGCATCATCGTCAGAACAACTTTCACTATCGCTGACATAGTCGTTGCGGTATTTGGAGCTCTTTAACACTGCTGCGCGATGAAGTTGAGGTCGGAATTTTCTCAATTTTTTGTTGCTCCTTGTTATTTTCTTATTGCTCATTGCTGCTGCTGTTGATGGAACAAAATCTTCATCTTCGTATCGTGGATTGAGATCCTCTTCCTCCGCACCATCGGCCTCAACTGGTACTTGTTTTCGCTTTCGTCTCTCTGGAGCGTCTAGTCCGGACGCGACGGGATCCGGCAACCAGCAAAAGCAGCCGGGGGTCCATTCTGCATTTTCTTCCGCGCTCGGCTCCTCTTCCTTCTTTCGTGATTCTGTGGCATGGTTGGTTTCTTTTTTCAACCCCGGATACACTTCGGGACCTTGTGATGGCGGCAGCGGCGGTGCAGTCTGAGGTGAAGAAGACGCGCTCTGCTCCTCTTCCTTCTTCGGTGATGCGGCCCGGTGGGTTTCTGCTTCCACCTCCGGTTTCACTCCGGGACCTTGTGCTGACGACAGCGTCGGAGACACACTCGGCTCCTCTTCCTTTTTCGGCGAATTCGAAGCTTCGTGAATTTCTGCTGCCAACTCTGATTTCCCTTCGAGACCCTGCGCTGGCGGCGGCGGCAGAGACGACGACGGTACCAAATCCGGTGGACTGGTGCTGCCGATATCGTCGGTCTTGATCGACGGCGACTTCGATTCTTCCCGCTCGCCTTCCTCGTTCTTGATCGCTCGGGGCAGCGAATCGCCGTTGGTGCCTGTGCAACGATTTTTGTCATCGGGCAGTTGATCCTCCCAGCACCAGTCACCGGTTTTCCATTCTGGACCAAAGCCCATGGTTATCTCTTCATCTACGTCAATGCTGGTATTTGTGGTTGCGGTGGCAATGATGGTGCTGCTAGAGGCAACGTGTGGTGGTAAAAACGGCATCGCAGCTTGTACTAGGCAGAATTGGAGATAATCAATGGAGCGTTCTCAGTTTACTTGTTCTGTTGCAGAACTAGCATCAAAATGCACAAACAGCATTTTGTAATACGAAGTAATCGTTTTGTTGCTTCAAGGACGTGGACTATCGTACCGGTTTAGGTTATTTCCGTCGCTGATATCCGTGACAATTTTTTTCCTGGTAGTATCTCTAGCAAAGAACATCACGAATCAAAGCGATAGACGAGACACCATCTGTTGCAACCATGGTACGTACCTCGTACAGTACCGTACCAGTTGCGGTGAGACAACAGGAATACCGTACAAAGTACCTGTACGAGTAGATCGTACGGTAGAACAACGAGTTACAGTGAAGAAATACTGTAAGCAACCTATGAATTTTAGGGGGAGATATTCAAAACGGGGGGGTTCGAAAATTTGCTCCCGTCGGTTCCGCAGCGAAGGGCCGATTGAATAGACATCGTAGTGGCATGAGTGAATGAGATAATTGTACCGAGCCGTACGGTGGACATACGTATGAATGATGCGTCAGCAATCCCGCTTGGAACTCGACGTCGTACTGAGAATTGGCAGTTCGTAATCAACCGAGCATCTCTCTTGCTTTCTTGTTTTCTCTGCCACTTCCATCCTTTTTCTCGAGAGGTGCTGTAATATAGATCACAACGACGAAGACAGTATTTAAAGAGTTCACAGAAGAAACCATAGAAGTGGGACAAGAAATAGAAGGGAAAAGATGCTAGTCGGAACTTACTTTTACAATCTAGGATTGGTCACGCTTCTATTGCTTGTGGCGAGGGTATCATCTTTCGGAACTCTAAAAAATCAGGGGCAATTGCGATATGGGTTTAGCTCGCGGCTAGGCATGTTCTTTGCTGACGAGTTAGCTCCCGAGGAAAAATTAAACCCAACTACTACCGAGAATACGGGCAGTAACGAAGAAGTGGCGGCAAAAGAAAACTTTCCTCCTCTTCCTGTGCAACTGGTTATTTCAGATAGCGAAGGATTCCTGAACGCAGCCGGAGCATTTTTGGTCGACTCGTTTTGGTTGGGTTCGGATCATCACAAGTTGAAGAAAGACGTGGAAATGAGTACCGATGCACGCATGAACTTGATCATTGAGCAAGCCGCAGATCTGCAAGAGAAATATGGCGAGAGAATGGGCAGGAGGTCTGCAAAAGCCTGCGTTGTAGGTGCATTGGACGAAGAAACAAAAGAGTTGGTAGGTTTGGCCACTCTGAAGGAGACTCTGATGATGAACACTGAAATTTTAGAACCAGAAAAAGCAGAAGCCATTGCCAAAAACGCTGTTGCCGCTCTCGGGCCAAAGCAAAGACGCGAGTACAAAAATGCACCCATAGCTAAAATTGCGGAAGAACTGTTATCTCCCGATACGAAAGCCGTCTGTGTTCTGTCCAATCTTGCTGTCGGCAAAAAGGCAAGGAGAAGGGGCGTCGCTCAAGCGCTCTGTGACGAACTTGACGCCCTTGCCAACGATTGGAACTTTGATGAGATTCATCTCCTGGTAGAAAGTGAGAACACTGCTGCTCGAACTCTGTACGAGAAAAAGCTTGGGTACAATCTCGTGTCCACAAATGTGGCCGCCGCAGCTCTCCGTGTCGATTTTGAGACTGGAGCTTTTGTTCAAATCAAACAAGATACGCTTGTTATGGCAAAGCAGCTGTAATGCTTTGATGGATGCGAATAAAGTCAATTTCAATCATCATGCTTCGCAAACGGAAACAAAATAGTCCAATCTTAAATACCTAGCCTAATCATATATATTTTTTTGCGTGAGACATGACGGTAAATCAATTCATATTTCGCATTCAATAAGAATATTAAATTTTCAACATATCAGTTCTTAACTCGATTTGTCTTTATTTGGAGATCTTCGAGACCTTCGCAAGAACTGCATCGGCATCAAGATCTTCGAGGGTATCGAAGACGCTCATGGTCTTTCCTTCCTTGGTTTCCCCTTCTACCGAAACTTGGCAATCACCAGACCATTTCTCAATAACTTCCATCGGAACACCTGCAGCAAGTAGACCCTTCCCGTAGGAGTCCTCTTCGATGCTTTTTCCAAGCCAGTTGTTTCTCTCGGCTAGGGCCTCAAATGGAGATGCGCTAGCGTGGACTCCATTATCACCAGTGTTTGGCTTCGAAGCGAGGCCCAACTTTCTGTATTCGTCCAGACTATTTACGTAAAATCGAGATAGCATAAACCAAACAAGTAGCAAGCATGGCAAATTGAGAAACGGATCACACAAGATTGTACTGAACTGCTACGAAAGTACTGAGTGTTCGACAGTTCAATCCAACCTAACAAGCACAAAATTCAGCCACAGACTTACATGGTGCGACGGATGGATCCCTTTGGTGCTTCCGAAGGATCAGTGGCACCCAAAACACTGCCACGGAAATCTTCCCAGCTGAGGGCATCGCTAGGCCAAGATACAGTATACCACTGGATCTTTTCCCCAGGGTTGCAGTAAGCTGTCGTCGTGGAAATAGGACAGAAGAACAAGAAGCATGGCAGTCAGTGACTCGAAATTCATGATTGAGTGAAGCATGATATTGACCAGTGGCACTTACCGGCGCGCATAGACATGTAAAATCCGTTCATGACGTAAATATCTTTCACTTTGCCGCAGTAGAAGCCACCTCCAAATTTGATCAGATCCTTGCCGCGGGTTAGCTTGCTCCATTCGCTATTGATACCTGCGGCATCCAAGCCAAGTTTCTCGGCTGCATCCTTAGCGTTGTAGACTTTGCCGGCTGCAATAACAGAATCCCAGGATTCTCCGAAAGCACCTTCAAATTGCTTCTTTCCTTTTTCTGGGACATTCAACTCTGATGGCTTCAACTTGACTGTGAAAAGAGAAATAGCCATAAGATTGTAAATAAATTAGACTGAATCATTCTTTTGAGAAACGAAAAATGAACAATGCTCATAAATCTTTCTTTCTCTTCTCCAGGATACAAGCATTATGTTTTAAACCTGAAATACATCAAGGACGAGTAGAGGACTGCTTCCTATTTGGAACCGTCGAGCACACCTGAGCCCAGTTAACAAAACCAGAGGGAAAGATCTGCGACCGCCTTGGGTACATCAACACTGATAAAAAAACACCGAGAGCACACCGGAACATGGTTCGACTAGTCGCAGCTCACAGTGGACTAAAAGCCCGGGGCGAATCCTCAAGAGTACAGCGCTACAAAATTCTCACCTGCTTTGCTGGCAATTGCGCCATAGTGGTTGTCAATAAACATGTTCTTGTCGATCTCCTCGGCGGTGTACTCTCCCTTGTCGGTCACACGAATGCCGCTATCCTTGAACTTTCCTTCAACAACAGATTCGACGCTTCCGGGTTTACCCTTGCATGCGTGGGGTTTGATGAAGACGAAGGCGGAGTTAGTCTTTCCAGAAAGTTCCACCTGAAGCGAATCCACTTTGGCTGCCATAGCATCCATCTTAGATTGGCTGTCCAAGTAAACGTAAGCGGCACCTCCGAGAGACATCAAAGCCAAAGGCATAGCAAAACCACCCCCCGAAGCTGCTTCTTTCGGCGCGGCAGCGGGTTCAGCTGCCTTAGCAGCGGTCGACTCAAAGCGTCGGCCAGCACGAGACGCAACTCGAGCACCGGAACGAAGAAAGGAAGAAGAGAACATCTTGCGAAAAACTATTGCTTAAAAATTGGTTAGAATTTGAGGCCTTGCGATCGAATGCTAAATCTTGGAGAAATTCTTTCAGATGATCGTTGGATCGAAGACTCACTAATTCTATTACGATAAGAAAGGAAACACGTACGAAAATGGACCAACGTCAAAAAAATATCGACAGGAATCCTTTCTGATGAAAACGGTCATTGTTGTTGAGTCCGTTCAGTACAATACGGTTAGTACACAACCAGCACTTCCCGTAGGAGGGAAGTACATGTACCGTACGTGGTACGCAGGTACGATATTTGTAACTATTTCTCCTACAGGTACCTCCTACCTACCATAGCTTTGTACTGTACCTACGAGTATGAACGAACATCGAACATACCGGTACAGCATTGGTAAATAATAGTATCCTTACGTACGTACGTACGTACGTACCTCGTACATAGATCGAGCTGGTCGGAGAGATCGAATCCAAATCTCAAACAACTATCTTCTGAAATTTTTTTTTTTCCATCAGAACTCGATCTATCATCCATCATCCATCATCGACTTTCAGCACCACCAAAATAAACTTAGTTGTCTGATCGAGGACAAAACAATTCTTCAGTAACGGTAGAGTCCAGTGCACACAACTTTATCATCTTCGTGTTCTCACTAAATCACTGATCGAATAGAACTACATTGAATTGCGGTGGCATCGAACCGGATTCGAACAAGCACAAGTGTACTAACGCTTTCTCACGTTGACAATCATATCGTATCCTGTCTTGTCGAGTAGACTATTGACTACTCGCAGACATAGCTTCGTGAGCAAATTCCAAAACCATCCGATAGCTCTACAAGATCTCCGTCACTGCACTGTCGAAAAAATATTCTTTGTATTTTTCACTTTTACTTGATGAATCACGCCCCCTCCACCCGTCCATTACAAAGAGCGAAGTATGGCATAATGCTGATCGCATCAATGCTTCATATTGCCCGCGCTTATGAGTTATCTTCTCGAGCAGCGCCATTGATGCGTTCTCCACACCATCTATTTCGGGCTCCATTTATTTCATCCCCAACTTCCGGGACCTCTATTCTGGGTTCTAAGATGTTGACACCTTGTTTCTCTAGATCTTTATCTTCATTGGAAATGGCAAAGCCGAACACCATCGTTTGTGATAACTTTTATTCCATATCATTGTCTATACCTACGATGGAAATGATGGAAGAGGTGGGAGCTCTGATTGCCATTCTCTCACAGCCATCCGATGTAATGTTTCTGGATGGTGATCTTGGTGCGGGAAAAACAACTTTTAGTCGCGGATTCATCAAATGCAAATTGGGCGTTGCAGATGACGATTGTGATGATGATGAGAATGATACACAGGAAAATCGAACCGAAGAACTACGAATAACCTCGCCAACTTATTTGTTGTCTAACACATATGAGTACACAGAAGACGATGATTATGACGAGGACGAGGACAGAGAACAAAAAGTTATGGAGTGAGTATTTTCTGATATTTTTCGTGTCTCAATTCGTTCTGCTAATGATGTAGGCTTCCATAGCTCAGCTCTGCTATCGAGCATCGTATTGGAAGAATTGTTTTGGAGAGAATCATGATGACCCTTTCACAATTTGTACTTCACACTCATTCGGTTTCCGGCATTCCACAATATTCCTTATTTACACCTGGCATGCAGAATCCATCACATGGACCTTTACCGCCTATCTGGGAAGTCTCCACGTGATTTTGAACCATTAGCCCTGGATCATGTATTCGCGAATTGTATTTCTCTAATTGAATGGCCTAGTCGACTGCAAGCCTTTCCGGAACTTCTACCACCTCACGAAACCTTACTAAAGATGGACATCCGTATTCCTGACCCTACCTCGGACAAACGAGTTATGTCATTGATTTCTTCTACAAATTCATCTTGGACAACCAGACTGAAGTATCTTGTTGACGAGGGAATGGTTGACGATATGTTAATATGTTCGGACCGCGATACAGACGATCATACGGCCCAAGTTGATACAGATTAAGCAGTCTTAGATGATTAAGCTTCAATATTGTAGTAAACAGCATGTAAAAGTCAAAGCGAATAGTACGTATTATAAAAAGATCATATCTAACCAAAGGGAAAGAAATCAATCGCGTTCAAAAAGAGAATGGAACAACCATCACAAAGAAGCTACTGTTTCTTGCTACCACGTGATCGAGGGGTTGATCGACGAGCGCCAGCTTGTCTCGGACCGGCAGATGGTTCTGCAGGAGGCGTCGGTTTCGCTTCAACAGTTCCAGCAGACTGCAAACTTGATACCGGTTTCGGGGCCTCGACAGCCGCCTTGGCAGCTTTCTTTCTCCGCACTTTCTTTGCCAGCCCTTTGTCTATTGCTTGAGAAGCTGCCTCGGCTAATCGTCGGACTAGAACATCTTCTCCGTTCAAAGGCAAAGTACTAATAGCACCGTAGCCCTTTGATGCATCCCCCGGACCACGGGTTGCGGTGATTCCGTCTTCGTTGACCTGTAAAATCATCTTTCCTACGGTGACAGAATTAAAATCAACAAGCTCCTGCCAAGTAATATCTACGCGCCCTTCTCCAGAACGCATTGCGGAAACGGGCCGACCCCCGATTCTAATCGCAGCAATATCGTATGTTTTCATTACTGCGGGTGCCCATTTCGAGGCCAACCAATCGGCAAGTCTTTCTGTATCTTCGACGATCATATCTTGACTGCTAAATAGTGTTGAAGCTTTTCCACTGTCCACAAGTTCCTGAACTCGCTCCAATTCCTCCTTCCATTGTTCCAATGTCCACTTATCAGTACCGGATTGCGACGAAATACTAATCACGGCGGGTGAACGAGAATCTGAGCTGGTGGAAATGGATAAATTCTTTGTAGCAAATAGAGCTGCAGATTCTCCCACGGAATGGCGGCACGACTTCAGTTGAGAGGAAGATCCCATGACATTCCCAGAGACTATAAAAGGGTCTACACGAACCGTTCGCATGGTGTATTCCTCAGTGATTGCCGGTTCAACTCTCGGTCCACCGATAAGTGGCGAAAATTCTGGAGATGATTCGGGAATCCCGAAGAGCTCTCCGTGACGCACCACACAAATATCTTCGCTTTTGGCGGTAGAAATGCATCCTGGTAAAGTGGAGGGGACAGATGCAGAACCTCCACCCAAGATGGAACCTACCAAATTTGATATCCCACCGCCTTCAGCGTCGTTGGAACTATTTTCGGCGTTGTTGTCTTCCAGATCTTCTTCGGCGGCTAGGACCGCCACTTGAGGACCAGCAACAGCTTTGGAGGCTTCCATAGTAGCCGCCCGGAGCGCAGCGCGAAAGCCTTTCGGGTCACCATTGCTACCTTCATCAGCTCCATCGTATGTACAGATCAATCCATCTGCCGACCCGCACCACCGAGAAACAGCCGAACGTTCGCTTTCTCCCCCTTTCGTGAGATCTTTAACTGTCGCTCCAGCCAACTCGAGACTTCCCGAAGCATCTGCAATATCTCGTAGGGCTTGTGGAGCCAACGAGACCACGGAGGACCCAGAAGAAGAATTATCATCCTCTCCTGGATCAGAAACCACAAACCAACGAACCGAAGATCCAAGACAAGCCGCCTTGACGGCGGCAACTTCTCCGACTCCACCAGGGGGGGAAACGACAACGATGGACGATGACATATCTAGCACTGTACGCGATGCCGAGGAAGAAGCTGGCCGCTGCACTGCATTGTTTGGATTGCGAGAGAGTGATGTCGGAGCAAACGCGTTGATCGTTGTGGCCGACGATAACACGGCAAAACAGAAACTGTGGTACTTCATAATGTCAATTTTTAATTGCCTCGATACTCTCCCGTGCTAAGGTTGATTGGCCTCCAAATACCGGCTTTCAAGAGGCGATCTTTGACGAGGATGGGTTGTTAAAGTACTTTGCTAAAAGAGTGTCCTTTGGGTGTTTCTTTTAGCAATTTGGTGAGATGATGACGAGGTGAAAAGATGTTGAAGAGTGACATCTACGTGGAGGGCGAGTTCGGGTTTTCAGAAGGATGTTTTGTAAAACCCTACCCTATTATGTAAGCTGAATATGTTTGCAAGGTACGAGTAGGAGTAACTACAACTTGACATCATTAATTAATTTAAAACGTTAAACGGTACGCTAAGTACATACGTATGATAATATAGTATGCTAACTCGGTACTGTACTTAGTTTCACGTTCGAAGTCAAGAAAAAAGTACGATACTCGTCTACTACCGTACCGTAGTAAGTACAGGATGTCATTTTGACTGAGAAGACGATAAATTAGACAAGTTATGATAGCTGTCAAAAATATGGTTCACGTCACGGAAATTGAATATTTCAGTCACCTCAAAACATCAAAACGCCTCAAACAGGTATCGTTATCCACCATCCACACAGAAAACAGTGGCAACAGGCAGCAAAGTCGCTTGAATCCTTACTACACAGAACTTCTACACATAGCCGCTATCGTAGTCAGAAAAGCCTTCGCAATCTAAACGACTACCCATTGAAATCTGTAGGGAGGAGAACCACACGACAGACTATGGCTAATGGCTCAAACGAAAACAAAACTACCAGTGTAGTGCCGAATGCTTTAGGGAGTGCAGCTGCCGGAATAATTGGTCGAATCATTACGCATCCGCTAGACACTGCCAAGGCACGACTCCAGTCGCTTAGTGGCAAGCATTATGCAGGTCCTGTGGATGTGCTGGTGAAAACCTTTCGGTCAGAAGGACTTTTTGGACTATACCGTGGTTTTCCAACGGTGATTGCAGGTGGTACCCCGGGCACAATAATATATCTTTGCGGCTATGATATTTTTAAAGAAAAACTATCGGTAGCTTTCTCATCTTCTAAAGGGGCGCACAACAATATAGATGACGAAGAAAGTTTTGCGGTTTATTTTACAGCAGGCCTTCTTGCCGAAACAGTTGCGTGTATAATTTATGTACCTGTGGATGTCATCAAAGAACGACTGCAAATCCAGTACAAGACAGATGCTATCAAATATAATGGTGGATGGGATGCTCTGGTAAAGATATGTCGAACTGAAGGACCAATGGGAATCTACAAGGGTTATGGAGCCACCCTTGCATCATTTGGTCCGTTTTCTGCCCTGGTAAGCTTTCAAAATTTCTTGCATTCTCAAATCGTATGGAAACTACTGAAATATATGCTCTCACTCAAAAGGTTTGTTCAAATTGATTTAGTACTTTGTATTTTACGAAAAATTCAAATCATGGTCCAGAACATATCAATATCAACAAGCAAATGAGGAGAAGAAACTATCAACAGCGCTTCCACTTCACTTGACTATCCTTTCTAGTGCTGGTGCTGGTACGTAATGGAATGTTTTTCCTAAACGGTTCTTTTTTGATCTTCTTTGCAACGATCCCCCCCCCCCCCTAAACTTGCGCCATATCCACCTTTCTTGTTTTCGTAGGTGCGATAGCATCGTTTTTGACTTCACCCCTCGACATGGCCAAGCTCCGGCTTCAAGTTCAACGCGGAGCGGAATCATCCTTGCCGGAGGCCTCAAAAGAATCCGTAGCAGTTCAAAAATCCGGTCCATCATTCAGAAGTATGTCGGATGCACTTCTTCACTCATACAGATCAGGTGGAATACAGGGCCTTTTTCGAGGTGCAGGGGCACGCGTCTTGCATTTTGTCCCTCTAACAACCGTCATCATGACCTCGTACGAAACGTGTCGGAACTTCTTTCAACAAAAACTTGCGTAAAGTGATAAGGCACCTCACATTATTTTGTCATGCGATCATGTCTTTCATCCGAAGTTTATTGATGAATATACCGTTTCGAGCCTTCGATAGTGAGAAAATCAAAGATTTTCGATTTATCCTGAGTATGTGATAGACTAAAGTGGCGTGTATTCAACCGCAACTATTAATGCGAACAGAAGGAGGATCGATTGTCTAGTTTCTGAAGCCATGGTTTTGTTCGTGAAATAATCCAAATCTAGCAGTTTCGGTCACCGAGCGCCACAAGAAGGACGGGACCACAATAGTTTCGAAACGAGTTGTTGTCACTGTAGAAAAACCTGGTGATCGGCAAGTTCGACTATTTCCGCTATCAGTCATGAATGAACAGTCGAATCGCAGGGAAGCAGTTTGCAAATCGTCGTCTTCGGATGGGCTCACCGAAGAGAGTAGAGTGGGCATGGTGGTGCGGAGCCGTAGTTTAAAATCCGTGCAATATTGTCGTTCGTCTCTTCCTGCAAAAGAGTTTCGGTATCGATTTTCAGAAGAGAAGATTCCCATTGACGGATCGAGGCTGACTTGGGGCATCCACCAGGGATCGTCACTTTGTCGTCTATTTCCCATATCTCTGTCTCTTCCAAAATCATCCTTGGTGATACCATTGCCCCAAAAAGACGTCCACTGTAAATCAAGACGCCGGCGAATCAGAGGAAAAAAAAACCGAAGATGAAAAGGATTCTGCTCATCGGTGCCTTGTTTATGATCAATAGAAAGTAAATCGTCGTTCTCTATGGTTGTAGTGGCATAAAGAGGTTGTTCGAACCCGATCTGGATCCATGGATTATTACTACAGCCTCTGGCATCGTCATACTCTGTTTCATCGCTTTCCTCGTTTTCTCGCCATCCAACACGAATGTTACCAGAGTCTGCGAAAGGAGCGAAATAGTTCTTTCGACGATGATTTCGGGTTGATTTCGACGAATGAGGAGAGAACAGAGAGTGTTGTGCCGTGACATCTATTGTTGTTGGCAGCAGCGAAGCTATCCTTTTTCGAGAGCGACATAGTGCTGTTTCTTGTCTTTCTCCGTTGCTCTTATTCGATGATGCCAACGAAGATGGTACGTTCCAACGAAATATCATTCCGATCCGTTCCACACCGTACCACCGATCCTTTCGAAACCGATAGTCCGTAGTTGCAAATACAGCCCCTGGCAAAAGCAAAGACGAAGGCGACCTTGTCTTTTCATCGTTCTGCTGGCTTGTTCGTTCTCCAATGCCTTCGAATCGTGTTTCTACTTGTCTAGAAGGGCTGCAATCGTGGTCAGCATGGATGTTGTCTTCTTCATTTCCAGCAATCGGAGATGAAAATAACGGTGTCAGTGCCGAGGGACTGAATGTCCCGGGATTACCCCACAAGAGGCATTTCATCCTGCCATTCACATTAAGACCGATAAGTCGCGGCACATTCGAAGAGGAAGGTGGCGAAGGGTGATGCTGTTCACGAGGCTGTTCATACTGGTGCTGGTAATTTGAGCTCTTGTCATAGTTTGGGTTTGCATTACTCTCGCAGTAAGATAGCACCGCAAGAAAGGAAAAAACCTTGAAATACAACGCAATCATCATAATGAATGCAAATGAAGGCCCTGATTAGAAGTTGGACGAGGAGGATAGATGTGACGTCTCCAACCATTTGCCATACGCTCGATTGAACACGGCAGACTCAATAATAATACGATCGGTTTGGCACTGATTTCTGTTTTGATGGAATGAGTGATCGCGATTAAATCCACTCATCCATTCTTGATTGATCAATTGATCAAACACGAGAATTACTCCCGCCAATGATCTGAAATTCGACTGGTGCGATTCGAAATTCTTTCTAACTTACTGGGCTGAAATACTGTGTATTCCGTTGATTTTTCTTCTTTTCCATCCGTCGAAATCTGTGGGAAATCTCGCAAGGAAGTACGACTGCAGAATTTTCGAGAAATACAGGCATTACAGTACTGTATGAACTCGTACACTTTGAAGTGCCTTTGGTACGTAGTACGTACTTGTAACAGGTTTTCTGAGTCGACAACTCAAACTATGGTATCACGAAGACGTTCAGCTGCTACGATCGATATCAGTACCAGACCTACGGTACGATACTCTTCGTAATTACTTGTATTTCTTTTCCATCAAGTCACATTGCCCTAGCGGTACGAACTCTGCTCTCAGCGATGCCCGACCGGAGCGAACACCAAGCAGGTCACAGATCTCACTCTAACGGTTATCGACTTCCCCTCTACTAATCTTGCATATAGCAAGATAGTAAAAGGCCTCACTAATTCAAAAAAAGAACAAGAGGGCTCGACAGCGTTGCCGTGACCTTGACAAAAAATCAACGCAAAACCGAGAAAGCATGATTCCAACCAGGAGGGTATTTATGCGAATGAAACGAAACAAAAAACTCTGGTCCACGGCTGTGGCAGCAGCAGCAACGACGACCACCGTGTTGTTCTGCTCGCCATCATCCGGAGACCTGTCCTCCCGCAGATGCGAACAGCGACTTGTTTCCTTCGCCTCGGCGTTCACCCCCCAAAATGGGCCCTGGGGTGTTGCCACGGGATCCGCTGCAGCGATGCGGGTGTCATCCATCTCGAAAGCTTTGAGCAGTGCTGCCACGAGCGCCGGTGTTTTTTCCTCGAATGTCACCGAATGCAAAGAGAGCGATGCGGTTGAGGGCCAAGACGACGAGGAATCCGTTGTGGTCACAGAAATTCCGTTCGACGAATCCGTATTGACGTACGATCATTACAATGGCGTAACCATAAACCTGGAAAAATACGAAGAAAATAATGACGGCCGCGCAGATGACGATTCCTTGAATCTATCGTTTGCGACCAAACTCAACAACGCTTTGTCCATTTGGAAGGCCGAGGGGCGCAAAGGGATATGGATCCACACGAATTCTCAATCCGCAAAGTACATTCCCGACTGTGTCGAAGCAGGATTTCAATTTCACAAGATCCTACCAAAGAAGACGAGCAATGATTCCAGCAACCCAGACGAGGGAAATAGCAGCAACGCACTCGTGTTGAGTCGATGGTTGCCCACCGATACGCCATCGCGGTTGCCCCATGGACCTACTCACCAAGTCGGCGTTGGCGTCATACTTTTGAACCCTTCGGATCCATCGCAAATGCTTGTCGTGAAAGAATTGAGTGGACCTGCTGCCAAATACAATTTGTGGAAAATGCCCACGGGATTAGTGGATCCTCAAGAATATGTCCCCGAAGCTGCCTCCCGAGAATTGCTGGAAGAAACGGGCATCGAGGCAACAATGAGCAGCATCTTGTGTATTCGACAAGCTCATAGATCGAACGCCGATACGTCCGACATGTTTTTTGTGTGCAAAATGACGCCAAGCAAAGAAGAAATTATATGGCAACGACAAGAAGCAGAGATTGCCGAAATTCGTTGGATGCCTGTGAAGGAGTATTGCCAACAAGATCAATGGCAGGGCAGTCCATTGTACGAAACATTGAATGATTGCGTGCTGAAAGCATCCTTGCAAGAAGTAGAACGTCAGCAGAGAAATGCAGAGAAGGTAGACACTGGTAAGATCTTGAATGGCATTGAACATCGCCAGCTTGAAGTAGGATTCGGTCGAACGGACGGCAAAAGCGAGGCTCTGTTTCTGCCCGAGCCACAGCAACTACCGTCTTCGACAATCACCACGACAGGTTCGAAACTGTAAATCACTACTGGGGAATGAAATATAGAAAACTATACTTTTCTTTTCGAAAAAGTGTTTAATCATTAACCATGGTATTATCTGCGATTGATTTTACAGTTTGATTTGAAGTAAATCCTTTTATGTTTTAAACAACTCCCCAATGATGCTCTATTCCTCCCAAGAGTCTTGATATGGCTGCCGCACCACTCAGCGGATACGAGCTAATGCTAAGCATCTTTTCGATGTACGGGTGATCATCAATGGTGATGTGTCCGGTGCTCATTGCCCCCAGCACGAAACAGGTCGGTGGGGTGACTCCGCTCGTGTCGGGCTCCTCGGGAACCACCGTCTTTGCGAGCGCTATGGGAGAATAAAGGGTCCCCTCGCAGGAGAACCCGAAGCACCGCGTGCCCGGTGGCAAGTGCGAGGAAAACGGATTCTTGATGACCTTCAAAAGGGTAGTCGAATCGTTACCCGCCTTGATTTTCATCTTGTGCAACAGCTGGACCATCAATCCGGCGAACCGCTTGTAGGTCCTCGGAGCTCGGATTTGCGGGTTGACTTCTATCAAAACTTTTTTGGTGGTCGAGATATAAATTTTCAACAATCCTGCCTTGTTCAAGGGACTGTCGAGAAGCGCCAGGATTTCCTGGTGTAAAATATCGGGTCGAAACGAATTTGGATCTTTTCGAAGCTTCTTTTTGCACAAGTCGCGGTGGTCGTCACAATTGAGCAATTCGAAGAGTCCACGCCGATTCTTCACTGTTTCCAAGGTAGCCTGGTCCAACAAGACGATTACGGGTTGTTGCTTCTTGCCTTTTTCCGTGCCGGTCATCGCGGCAAGCTCCAAGGGAGCGCTGGATAGGTGGCTTCCTGCCTGGGCTGTTGTCTTCGTCTTCTTTGCCGGAGGAGCAGCGATCTCGTTTTCGCTGTCGGACGACGACGAATCGTCACTGCTTGAATCTTCGTTTCGAGCCATAGTAAAATGAAATCTCCGTTCAAAATTGAGGTAGCGTAGTCGATGCGTGAGGTATCGAAGTCTTTGTCGGGGTAGGCACCAGCTAGTTTTTTGAAACCTTTCGACTCAAGGGGTTCATCGAATCGAGATGTACGTACCGTAGTACTGTCGTAGTACGAGTACGAGTAGTTTTTTTTGTGGGACCCAGTGTGGCATCAAAGTGATGTTTTCTCAGTTTCTCATCATGAGACAAATTTTGGTGATGATTGGTCTTCGCAAATCCTATTCTAATGGGATCTGTCCGACGTACGGTACTGTATCTGGTACCAGCATACGGTCAATACCATCTTCGACTCTTGAGCAGAACCAGTGAACAGTGCTTCTGTACCGTATGTTGTTATCGTACCGAAAGTATGAATTCGTATCCGAAATCCGAGGGAAGAACCCTGACGACCGGTATCGTACGGCACGTACTCGTACTCTATTGCACACAATCGACACGCGCCTTGTATTGTAAACCTGAAAGCGAGGGAAAAACTTGCGCAAGGACCAATTCGTGCTAAAGCACTGAATCATCACCAAAAACTAATCCGTGCTAAAGCACTGAATCATCACCAAAAACTAATCATCAGAAAACACGATCACATCCTTCATTGTACCGCACCGTAGAGAGCAAACCTACTGGCCGTACGTACCGTCCCGAACTCGTTTCCGAAATACAGAGGAACAAGACCGCTCGCCACTTCCTGACAGCGTTGACAACACATGCGTTCCTGAAACAAAATATAGCCTTCCATTGAGTTAAGAGGGTTCATCCACAAACCCACCCTGCTGGGACTTTTTCAGATCTAATGACCGCGGAACAGAAAGGACAACCACGAGAAGACGGCCAGAGCAGCAAATACGAAGGCGAGGCATGGGTTAAAATCGTGTCCGCCTCGGTTGGTTCCGCGATAACGGCGTTGGCGGTGACGCCTCTCGATGTCGTCAAGGTTCGGCAGCAAGCCGCGGGACTGAGTCCGGGCAACGCCGCCGCCCCGGTTTCCGCTGCGCCCGCTCCCAAAACGCCCGCTGGAACCACGAGTCGTTCCCCGAGCCGTTCCGGTGCTTCTTGTGCCCGCGGATGCGGCACCTTTGTTCTAAACACGGGGCTGGGAGAGTACCTGACGTCGCGAAACAGAGCCGGATACTTTGATCCAAAGACGGGAGCGCTAAAGCAAGAAAAATCCGTCGCAGAAGTCTTGAAAACGGGGGGCCCGTTTCGGATCATTCGGAGCATCTTTGCCCACGAAGGACTGGCAGGAATATACGCGGGCTTGGCTCCGACACTGGTCATGGGGATCCCCAACACTGTTCTATACTTTTACACCTACGAAGAATTGGCTCTGAGATTCAAGGAGCGCTTTCCTACCAACTCTCCGGTGAGCGGGGCGGTACCAGCAATATCCGGGGCTTCGGCTCGTTTCGTGGCCTCTCTCTCCACGGCGCCCCTGGAACTGCTGAGAACGAGGCAAGCCGCCCGTGCGGGCCTCGATGTGTCCGGCACCGTTAGCGGTAGAGAAGGGAGGGGAATGATATCGGAATTCCGCACCATGATACAACAAGATGGTGTGCTGTCGTTGTTTCGCGGGGTGCGACCGACGCTGATGCGTGACGTGCCCTTCTCGGCTATTTATTGGGTGTGCGTCGAGAACATGAGGAACTTTTGGAGGACGCGACACCGCGATCTCTCAACATCTGCTGTGTCCACCACGGAACAAACCATCGAGGCGCTGATCAATGGGTCTGTTTCGGGAGTCATTGCCGCCGCCTTTACTACCCCACTGGATGTCTTGAAAACCAGGAGCCAGATAGAAACACCTGCCGCGGTTTCTGTGGGAAAAGCGGCTGCGGTAGAAAACGTTTGCGTAGCGCCGAGGCTTTTCTGCCACCACGGGGGCGCACTTGCGGTCCATCCCGAGTCTGCCCGTTTGGTATCTCCCGCGGGCTCGATGGCCGGCACGGGCACAACACAAAGGCTGTCGACCATGAACATCGCAAAGAGCATCGTCCAAGCAGAGGGCATGGGGGGATTGTGGAGAGGAAATGTTGCAAGATGTATGAAGGTGCGTTCGGCTGTGTGCGTGTGTGCTGTTTTGCTTCCAAATTTAACCCATTTTCATCTTACAAATTCAAAAATTCTTCCGCCTCTGTTCAACAGGTTGCACCTGCTTGTGGGATTATGATTGCAACGTACGAAGCGGGAAAAAGGATACTTACAGTTGATTGACTAGAAAACTACAAACTCATTATTGACGATAGCCAATAATTCCATCGTATGTCTTTTCAAACTAAAACAGGACTATCTTTAGTTCTAATTACAACTGAATGCGTATAATATTGATTACAGTAACTTTTCCATCTTTGGGCCCTTATAATAATCAATCAGATGTCACTCCTTTGAGTTCGTTTGGAGCTATCCACTTATCTGCTACAAATCAATCAGACTATAAACTATCAATTTCTGTACAATTATGTCAATACCCCTTTCATATAATTACAACGAACAAAGTTTAAGTAGCCTTGGCCATTTTTTTACTCAACTATATTGGGCCACCCTGATGTCAATTATGCCAATTCCTTTGCAATCTGCTCGAGCTCTTGCTCAAGAGCAGCATGAACATTGGTCAAATTCGATCGCTCGTTACTCCATTTCTCGCGATCGTGTTTGTGCATCTTTTTCCTTCGATTAACATCTGCTACTAACGCTCTGTAGCGACCTGCTATGTCACATGCTTTTTCCTTGATACGTGTATTCTTCTCCTGCAACCTTTCAATTGCTCTTGATTGACGATCGTAGCTTCCCTCCCACTCTTCACACTTATTGGTAAGTTTTCGAATGTATTCACGCAGACGAGCATTTTTCTTTTCGCAAGATTCTATATTTACCCGAAGAGAATGTTCTTCGGCGTCCTTGGATCGCAAAAGTGCTGTAACTTCGTTGACCTCGGACTTCAGATTATTCATTTGAGAATTCATTTCCATCATTTGTGAATCTTTCTTTTCCAATGTTGCTGACGTATCAAGAAGCAACGATTTCATTTTCGCGAATTCTTCATTATTTTCAATTGCACTCGTTTTCGATTGGGTCTTGAGCTGACAGAGTTCTGATTCCATCACCTTGAATTTATGATTCGCCTCATACTCACGCTGCTGCATGGCCACCATCGCTTCAGACATTTCTTGGATCTGCAGGCTGGACCGTTCCATTTCTTCTTCAGCCTGACGTAACAGATCAAAAAGTTTTTCATTTTGGGTTGATTGATCTTTTGCGTGCTTCATCTGATCCGTTTGTCTAATTTCGTATTTCGATAAATTGTCGTTGAGTTGCTCGATTTCATCTTTAAGGTCGGGGATTCTTTTAGAAGTGTGATGCATTGACTCGATCTCATCAGTAATCAATGGGATGATGCTATTCCAACAATCAATTTCATTCATTGCCGACTCGAATTTATTCAGCGACACAGAGTTGTTCTCTTTTGAAATAAAATATTCCTTCAAATCTTTACAGCACTGTAAATCTGCAATTAGTCCATGGAAAGCGATTCGCTTGTCGGTCATTTTGTGTATATTTGATAACAAGCTTGATTTCTGCGTTTCGATTTCTTGGATTTTTCTGCTACTCTCTTCTATTTGCATTTGCATTCTGCCCTTTAAATTGGCGTATAATTCCTTCAGCGAGGTGGCTTCCTTCTCACTCTGGGAAAGTTTGGATTTCAGCTCGGCCCGTTCCTTTCGCATATCTTCGTATGCAAACTGAGATTCTAAAGTTCTATCCTCCAAGTCAGATTGGACTTGCATCTTGTAGTTTTGTAGTTCATTAACTAACGCCTCAAGCCTCAGTTTAGATTCAACTTCCTTTGAAAGTTTGGTAACAGCTTCGTGATGAAGACGTTTGAGTTCGCATGATTCATGTAGGGCCACCTGCAAAGCTCTACGAGTTTCAGCTGATTCAAGTTCTTTCTGCTCGGTCACCTTGTAGATTTTCGTAGAAAAGTGCGCCTGCAAGTCTTCAAAACGTTCTTTGTACTCATCACATGAGCTTGTAGCACATTCTAGTTCCGCCTTCGTCAGTGCAAGCGACTTCTCACATTCGTTGATTCTGGCCTCGAACGTTTCTTTCTGTTTTTGAATTTGTACTACGGACTTCATCAAACGATCATTTTCTTCCACGATAACGGTGCTCTCCCGTTTCTGCTCATTCATCTGTAGGCAATGAGCCTCATTGTCGCTTTGAATTGATGCTACTGTACATCGCAGTCCCTCAATCTCTTCCTTCGCCTCTTGAAGTGCTTTCTCCACAAGACAGTATTCTTCGTTTCTTCTAGAAATAGCAAGCGATAACTTCCCATTTTCCTGCTCGAGTTTTTGAATAGTATCATTCTGAGATTCAATTTGCTCCTTTAACTTAATTGAACGCTCCTTGACTCGCTTGCACTCATTCATTGCTGTTTCAAGGGAATCTTTGAACATATCCATGTTTGATGTAGAAGTGAAAACAGATCCAGTTCGGACAATTGATTCAAGCGTCATATCATCGTGAAGTAGTCTCGAAATATCATCCAGATCAGAACTGATCGAGATTTCATCCGTACGAGGAATTCTAGCTTCCTCCATCAGAGTGTACATCTCATCTTCATCGCTTATACGACTTTTTGGAGTCGGTATGGTACTTTTTATCACGTCAATAGTTGTACCCTGTTGCAGATGATTTTGTATCACATCACGCTCCATCTCAGCTGCGGTGTTTGATTCACAAGAAGAAACAGATTCTTTTTCGAAAAGCAAGGACGATCTGAGGTGTGAGACTGTCTCTGAAAGACAGTCCAATCTATCGGAGAAACCCTCCACCATTTTCTCAACATCGATTTCAAGCTGCTTGTAATGTTGTCCCAAACGAGAAAAAGTAGCTTTGGCCATTGTCACGATTTGTTTATTCTGATCGAGATCAGAAATTGTTTCAAAGTTTGATGTAGAGGTTGTCAAAAAAAGTTCGGATTCGCGCTTCATTAGAGAGATGCTGACTTTGATTTGACCAAACTCCTTCTCAAGGGAGAGCAAGTCTTCATCAACATTGCCGATACCTTCAAACTTATGGCTAAACTTTGTGGCTTCGATAAGACGTCGTTCGAACGGTTCGATAAGTCCTTCATAGGTATCCATACTCCTTACGAGATGCACTTTTAATGATTCCGATCTGTGACACTCATCTCTGAGCTTACTTTGTGTCTGGTCAAGTCGCTCTTGGACAATACCCAGTTGTCGTCCTAGAAACTCATTTTCTCTCGTGGTTTGTAGCATTTCGTTTGAATTGTCCATCGGAGTGATAGCACCTGATGCTTTGCGAGCCCTAAGCTGGTTCAATTCGGATTTCAAAGCATCATTTTCAGCTCGAAGTTCATCTGATTTTTGTGCCATTTGTTGAACTTGCTGACCCTTCTTAGCGCATTCTAACATTACTTCAACTTGTTGCTCCAGAGTTTGTCTGCACAGAGAATGGTCTTGGGCAATGCTGTCTTGTTCGGAAACGATAGAGGACGCGATGGAATAACCAAGAGCGTCATCGCTCAAACCCAGACTTTCAAATGCTTTTTTCATAACAGCTTGAGTATTTTTTTCATCAAGCGTTTTCGCTGCAAGCTTTTTGTTGGCCATTGCAAGATCCTCTTTCAACCTTTCAATCGTCTGATCTTTCTCCAAAAGTTGTTTCGATCTAGTCTCTTCCTTTGTGCCAACTTGGTTCTGGAGTTCTTCCTTTTCCTGCTCTAGCGCGACAACTTGTTTTTTTAGTCTACCGTTAAGCGTCTGAAGTTCGGATAATTTTGAGGATAATTCGACGCAAGTTTGATCTGCGAAACGCACTTCCTTTACAAGAGTCTGATTTCGGTCCAACAAAGTCTTGAGAGGATTTTCATCGACGATGGTTCCTCTGGGAGTGGCTACTGTCAACTTGAGAGCCTGCTCGAGTTCTAAAACTCGTTCTCTCAGTCGGCCCTGGACCTCATCAGTGTTGTTTTGTCGCATTCTGAGACTCGACTCAAGTTCTCCGAGTCGATCAAGGTAGGCAGTGTTTTCTTCTGGCACCTGCGATTTGTCTCTTTCTTGATCACTACCTGAAGCAGTTGGTGCTCCAGAAGATTCGATGCATTTCACGTTGGACTCGGAGGTTGATTCTTTAGGGGAAGAAATAGAATGTTGAGATATGTCGTCAGTCTGAACGTGAAGGAAGGGAACGTGGGATGGTTTCTCAGCGGCCCCACGAGAATCCCCATGCAACGACAAATGAAGAGAGTGAATCATCGATTCCTGAAGAAGAGATCCGGGATGAGACGAGAGATCTTCGTCGTCTTCCGAAGCAACCCATTCTTGTCGAACGCGAGCTGGTGTTGGCTGAATCGTTCGATTTCTTAGATTTTCGAAATTTATAGTGGAAGTTGAAACGGCTTGTTCAACTGAAGATGCTGCGGTGTCCGGTCGGAAAATTTCGCCCTGATCTTCCTCATCTACGGTAGAGAGATCATTGTTCGACGTCTCAATTTCATCCAAATGTGCGATATCTGATACTTCTCCCTGTGAATAGAAAGAGCTCTGAACGAGCTCCCCATCATCCTGTAACCAATGAATCTTACTCGGAACTTTGATGGCATCCTTCTGCTCCAAGGCATCTATCGCTTCGGGTAACATCTTTGGTTTCACATAGTTCTCATTGTCATTCTTTTGAAATGGAGTCTTGTGTGTACCAACTGAGCACAAAGACGATCCGACAGAGTTTGGACTTCGTCCTTTCGTCGAAGGTCTTTCGCAATCATCTTCTACGATTGCGAGTGATTTCTTGGAGGAGGCTACTTCGTCACTCCTGCTGTCTCTGTCCTTGGATGGACTTTGATAATGTTCCATCATGGCCCAGACTGAAGGAACAGTACTGTCATCTCCGTCGTCGCTGACCCTTGAAGTCTCGTTTTGAACAACATCAGTGGTGGGGATGCCTTGATCTTCATCACCTTCAGACATGGTAACAGATATAGACAGTTGGGGGAACTTTCTTGGCTTAATGTTGTCATTCTCTGCACTGTTTATGGGCACATTGGAAATGTTGGTTTTTGAGCGATTGTTAATGCTAGGAATTATGTTTTCCTTATCGCTTTGCGGTGACACCGAGATTCTGACAGGCGCCGACGAGAGAAGCTTTCCCTTAGAGGAGGGGAATCTCTCGTTTTGTTCTCTCATTCTCTGCCGGATGCGGTCCGTGTTGAACCGTTTCATCTTGCTTGTGTCTGTCAAACCACGATTGATTGAATTGTCTCCGTACCAGTATTCAGCCAGTCAGATGGCTGTCTAAAGTGGTGATCTTCAATGATTCCGTTCCAACTTCGACCACTCTTCCAAACAATGGGGCTGGGGTCGAAACTGCTTTACCGCTCCGGACAAGCGGTTTTTGTGGAGAGGAATAATGGTACAGTACTCTACCGTATGGCTCGTATCTCACCATCGAGTGCTCACGTTCTCTCGACTTTGCTTGCTCCCACTTGACATGCTGTACGAACGATTTAGTATGAGGAAGAGCTCCCAGATTTTCAAATTGTTTCCGGGCGAGGCACGCGCGATTCGGCAAAGCATCCGCAACCAAGAATCTGTTATTAGTTTTTTAACAAGACACCAAAAAGTTAACTGTTTTTAGGTCATTACGGTATCCTACGCCGAACTATTTCCTACCGTACGTACGGTACTACGTACGAGTACCAGTACCGAGAACTAAAAGCTTCCAATTTCATCAATGGAATCATCGGTTGTTATCTGATCTTTTCAATAGCCAAATTCATATGGGCCATGTAGTGAACTTGCGTAGGACTCGACGTTCTACTGTTTCAACAGAAGTCGGAGAGAGAATTCGTACCAGTACAGATGGATTGATTGAATGTTCTCACAGAATTTGCGAATCTCCTCTAATATCCTTTGTCTTGGAAGCAACAAGGCGATGATCCTGCGGCTCGGACCCCAAAGACGGAATTTAACTGAGACAAAATGAGCACTAGTAATAGCAGCAACAATCCTACCGAGGTACATCGCAAAATCGCGTTTCTTGGATTTCGGGCTGTTGGAAAGTCTTCGATAGTGAATTCGTATGTTACGGGGACTTTCTCAGAGACGTAAGTTGCTTGAGGTCGTGGAGTCAAATCAACTGGTTGTAGCGTACACAAATCATCTACATACATTTTGCCCAAACTCACTCCGAACAGGAGTATGCGGGTACAGAACCATTGTGTGCTGATCTAGAGTTTCTTGTACTTCTGAATTTGACACAAATTCCGTGCAGATACGACCCAACAATAGAGAGCACATACAATAAGACGATCCGATTCCGCAGAGTTAGTTTCTCAACGGATATTGTTGACACTGCTGGCATGGATGAATTTTCGAGGTTATCACGCAATGCTTCGCTCGGGGTTCATGGCTATGCCCTAGTATTTTCCATTGCTTCCAGACAATCCTTTGAGATGATTGAGCAAGTCAATGGAGCCTTGTTGAATTCGTTGGGTGATCTCCCTGATGTTCCTCGTGTACTAGTTGGCACCAAGAAGGATCTGAAAGATAGTCGACAGGTCAGCACTGCCGATGCTCAAAAATTAGCTGATACCTGGGGAGTTCCTTATATTGAGTGTTCCGGCAAAACCGGGGAGAAAGTAGCGGAAGTTTTTCACATGCTAATGAAAGAAGTTGAAGCAGACGATGGTTTACTGGTCGAAAACGAAGAAGGCGGGTGCATAATTTCGTGAAATCTTAGTTCAAATCTTGTCGAGAGCAAACGAAGCTCTGTGGCCATCAGCATCGCGCCAATGATATCAATCATTTCAGCTCACAAATACTTCCAAACGGGATACAGATTGCATCAAAAGAAAATTACCGAAACGTATGGGAACTGATGCTACTGCGCAATCCGTGAGAAAAAATCTCCCCACAACAGTTTGTTCCTGAATTATGGTCTGTCCAAGGTCAGTTCTACGAGGCTATTTGAAGTGGCTTGGAACTTTACTTCATAAGCAGTAGACTCCAACAAGGTTTCAATATGATTTTTGGTTGCTTTGGAGTGTTATTGGAGTGGTGACTTGATGCATTACTACAAAATGTTCGTATCGATCTCTATGTAAATGATATCCGCCGATTTCTTGACGGAACTCCATCCTTTTCCTAGTCATAGCAAATGTTAGAAGAAGAAAAATCTCTCTTCGGTTTGTTTATGCTGACCCATCTTCAAGGAAAGAATTGGGAACAAGAGTAATAAAACTACAACTTCGTACGAAGTAGATGATAGCGTTGAGGTCCGACAAACCAAATAATGACAACTAAAGTACCGTAGAGAACAGTACGTACGTAGTACTCGTGCTTTTCCTCTGGTATGAAATCCCAAAAATCCAAAACTAGTGTCGTAAAAAATTCCTCTGCCATCTGACTGACAGGGGACAGACGCTTCCAGGAAATCCACGAAAATTCATTTGGGCACCTGAAAACTGGAAAATTTCATTTTATTTTGACATTGTAACGTGTCCCGTTCGCAATTACTCTACGAAGTTTTTGCTTCCGAAGATTAGTCGTTCGTCCTCTCGCTCGCTCACTACTAATGTAATGAATGAATGAGCGTAAAAGAAGCACCACAAATTCTGGTTGCGGAGTCGTCGCCTATTTTGAACCCTACCCAACCATTTTCGAATACCCTCATTTCTCACTTAATTATGACACAGAACGAACCAGCATCGCTAGTGGAAGCCAAAAGCGATAGCGACGAGGATTCAGAATGCAGTGGTTTTGGATTTGCAGCTTTGGATCTGACGGGGGTAAATTTTGACGATGACAACGATAACGACGAAAGTTCCACTTTGAATCTCTCGGAAGAAGACTATGAGGCATTGAAACTCGAGAGGAAATTGTTGATGGCACAAGAAGATACATTGATTGAAAATCTCATCGACTCGGCGACGCAAACAGATGAAAAGGGGGAAAGTACCTGTCCGTCGTCCTCTTCGTCTCAATGGAAACGACTTCTTCAACTTGCCGATCTGGTGACCGACGGAAAATACGTTGATGCTCTCAAAAGCGACTCATCGAGATGGTTGCTCTCTGTTGAAGAAGTCGATGACAAAAATGGTGGTGGCAATTACGATAATTTTTTTTGGGATAGAGTGCAGCAAAAACTCATGAAATTACAAACTGTGTCTGAATGTGTGGAGGCAGAGATAATTGGAATTGCTGCCTTCAATCTATTCTTGCAATTGAACTACACTGGTCCATCTCTTGAAGACATTCAAGTCGGTAGTAGTAACGAAAAAAAATCTGATCCTCTCGAGGGTATCAACCCGCATGCCTGTTTTGGAAGCTACCTCCAATCATCTGATGAACAAGGGGAGAAAGCAAATCTTGGCATTACGAACAAAAGGGATACAAATTATCACAACTCAGTTCTTTCTGAACTTTCTGTGAATGGAATGTGGCCATGTCAAGTTGCAGAAGTCCCTTATCTGTTGCTGCTAGCTCGTTCTATTTTCTCGAACCTGGTTCCAGTGTCTACTGAAAGCATATCATTGCCAAAGAGCTGGATGACGAATGATGTAGCATCATATAAGTCCGTGTTTAAGGGGAGAAGCGCTCCGGAACATTTCATCTCAATCACGAGCAAGCTAACTGCAGCCCCTTTATGGAGTGCTCGTGCAATTGTAGCTCATGAGAGACTTCTTCTTGGGGATGAGCCTTCCGAAAGATTATGGAATGAAATCGAGACGATTTTCGACCAACGCTGCCTGGTGGATTTCGATGCTGAAGATCAAGAAAAATTTTCTGAAACCAAAAAGTTAAAATCAATGATCTACTTAGAGTATGGATTGGCTTCCCATTATTTCGAGCACGCAAAGAAGGGCAAAAGGCTCTTTGATTTGGCAAAGGAAACATCTGGATTGACGGTCGAAATGACTGGATCTGAAGGCAAGCGAACCAAGTATCAGTCAACTTCTACTGCCCAGATGATTGTAAGAGCCTCCTCTGCGAAGACTCCAAGCGACAGTGCAAGAGTAGACCCATCAGAAGAATCACCTACTGAATCAAATGAAACTGATACCAAATCCAAGAGGATTGAGCACAACGAGGAAAGTCATCTCCTCGAAAATATCAAATATGAAGATGAAAACGACAACAGAGTTTCAGAGCTGAATGTCTTGGACCAGAGTATTATATTAGCACTATGCCTGGATGTAAAGAACACAAATCCAGCAGATGGTTTAACAGGAGAGGAGATGGGAGCTTATTTGTCTCGCGTTCTCCATCATCACGATGATTGGATCATTTATTCCACTGCTTTACTGGAGAGAGCGTGGCTTGAATTCGAGGGCAACCATACGAAGGAAAGAGCCATTCTTCAGATGCAGGCTCTGGCAGATCAACATACGAATCGCTTAACTATAACACAATCTACAAGAAAAAGTGTAGAAGAATCTTCGCCGGTTCAAGAGCGTCTAAGAAATCTTCACAGCATTGTATATCCGCCAAGATGGCAAATGCTTGCAGATATTGCGGATCGCTATGCTTCACTTGGTATTGTAACGACTGCGGCAGAAATATTCACTGACATCGAATATTGGGACGAAGCGGTGGAGTGTTACAGACGAGCTGGAAAAGACAGCAAAGCAGAAGAGATTGTAAAGGAGAGACTTTCGATGAATGAAACACCTCGAATGTGGATGGCGCTTGGTGATCTGACCAATGATCCTACGCACTACGAAAAGGCGATTGAACTGTCAAGAGGACGCTTCTCGATGGCGTATATTGCGTTAGGGAAGTATTATTACGATAGCAACGACCTTGAGAAATCGGCGTTGGCATATACCCAAGGCCTCAAATTGCGCCCCCTCATCCCTTCCGTTTGGTTCCGTTTGGGCACCATAAACATGAAGCTCGGAGACTGGAATGCTGCATTAACAGCCTTTTCCGAGGTTGTACAGCAACGCCCAGATTCGTGCGACGCTTGGTCAAATGTAGCAGCAATACATATGCACAACAAGAACCCACAGAGTGCTTATCCAGCACTCAATGAGTCTCTGAAGCTGAATCGTGATAGTTGGCAAAATTGGGACAGCAAGCTCTATGTCTGTCTTGACTTACAAAAATATGATGAAGCTGTACAAGCCTGCAATATGCTATTGGATCTTAAGGCGACGCATTCTGCGGAGGGTGTCCCGGATATACCGGAGAAGTGCATTCGGGCCATCGTTGGTGGAACGATTTGCACCTATAACGAGGCACGCAGTGATGGAGATGAAGCCCTGATAGATATGGAGCGACGACGGTTGACTCGTGTACATGGAGTCCTAGAGCGCATCCGAGCATCTGTGAACAAACCCTGGATATTTGAAACTATGGCATTTTTTCATCAGCAGGTGGGACAAGACAAACACGTCTTTGAAAATTTAATGAAGGAGTATCGAGCTCTCTCCACTGTTCGTGCGTGGGAAAGGGACGACTTTCAAGTGAACAAGATTTGTCAGGTCGTATCACAAATTGTAGATTATCAACGCGGTAGTAAAGAGGAGCTTATGAAATCAAAGTTTCTCGTAAGTGGTGTGTTGAAGAAGATTGAAAAGGCCCGGGCAGATATTGAGCTGATGCCAGATGAAGTGAAAAATCTTGAAAAAGTTCTCGAAGATATAAAGAAAGAGATCCAAGAGTTAAGCTAGCTCCTCATCTGGTATTTTGGTGAAACCGATGATGGTTGCATGGAAAAGCTTTTATCAGATTCGCACCCCAGCAGGATAGACCGCTTTATTCGCTTTCTTCCTTCTTTCTTGACGTTGAAACCGCATCAGGGTTTTCTCGTAACCACTTTGGGCTATAGTCAATGGTTACTTTCCTGTTAATCTTGGCAGCTAGAACAAAATCATTCTGCGTCAATCCATTTACCTTGTGTGTGTATATTACAACCTCAACATCCCTGTAATTCGTCAAGTGAAGATCTGGATGATGGTTTTCCTTTTCTGCTATGGCGCCGATTTCGTTGATTGCATCTAGTGCTACCTTAAAGTTTCTTGCCGTGAACTTTCTCGACAACGACAGAATTCCTTCTTGTGATTCCTTCAACGACCACAACGAAGATGGATGTGGTAGGGATGAAAGTTCTACCTGGGCTTCTTCCGCCGATAATTTTGCTGACTCGTCGAGACCAGAGCAAGGTACACATTTCGAACTAGACGAAGCATGAAGTGACATGGTTGTTTCAAAGAATGAAATTTTCCCCAAAGCGATACTACTGCAGCGCGGAACGGTGGATGTTCTGATTCGTCGTTTTGATAATACAAGAAGGGTGATAAACTGTTGAAGTGCAACACGCATCTCCCTTGCTTTACAGAGGAGTATGAATATCTTGTATCGAAGTTTGAACGTGGTGCACTCGGCACCGACAGCGACAAATTTAAAAATCCAAGAAATGATTTGCCTTTATGTTATTGCTACGGTACAGTTACGAGTACTCGCACCAAGCCTTTCGTTGGCAAAACTCGATCACCATCGATCTGATCACAAATTTGTTTGCTTCATTTCAATCAGGTTGTGCTCAAAACAAATCATAATTTTTCAGAATCAGGAGGGGTGTCCTGGGAATCCATTTTTTGCCCGAAAAATCGAATTCAACACTGTTCCCGTTGTTGAGATTGTCGCAGTAACTGTACTGAATGTACTGTACCGTACTGTAGCCAGTTCCAGACACATTCACAGTCCCGAGCGTGTAGCGTACCGTTCGGTCTCTACGAGGAAGACCATGAGTACGTACGAGTAGTACATTACGATACATGTATTTCAAGATCAAAAATGGAATAGTATGAGTCACGCATACGTGCTCCGTACTGTGTACGTCATCTCTCCTCTTAGTCGAAACAGTCTGGTGTCAACACATGAAAAAACAACATCATCATTGGGAGCAAAAGTTTCATGCTGATGCTCTACCAGTACGTACCGGTACCGATATGGTAATGTACGACAAAAGTGTTATGCGGTTCTGCGGGATCAACACCGTACAATCTGAGTACGATACTGTTCTGAGGGAAGATACTAGCAGGACAACGAATTATCAGCTCAGTAAGGTTAGCCGAATCCGTCGAGACATTTAATCTGAAAGCAAAAACGTTGAGGACACAAACCAGAAAATACATTTAACAAAGATGAAACTGTACTTCCTCCCTTTCCTAATTGCTGCCGTGGCAGAAGCTTTCAATGTATCCCCAGACGTGAGCTTCCGACGAACAGGCTCCGTCGCCATGAATGAATCAAATGGGACTGGAGAACTTTCACGCCGAACCATTGTGCAATCGATCATGCTGACATCTGTCTTGCCGGCGGTGGTTAGTCCGCAGATGGCCTCTGCCCGACTAGAAGCCGTCAATCGTCCCGACCTCTTGCCCTCCGAAGCGGGGCTGAATGTCATTCAGACCGAGAAATTCTTGACCCCAGGGCAAGCAAAGCGATTAGATAAAATGATGGCGAATCTAGAAAAGGACACGGGATTTCGGTTAAAACTTCTCTGTCAAAATTATCCGAACACTCCAGGTAAGTTGAGGTTCGAAGAAAATGGTCATGACATATTGTTCGTTGCAAAATTTGCTCTATCAAATCCGTACCTTTCTCAATGCGCTTTGAATTCATTGTTTTCGCACAATCATTATGTGGAACTTATTTAATAGGACTCGCGATTCGAGATTATTGGTCTCTGGGAAAAGAAGATCAGAAAGATGACAAGTATATTGTGCTGGTGGTTGATCAGTTCGGGGGCCGAGGAAATATTCTCAACTTCAACGTTGGAGATGTAAGTTTACAGGCTTCGAGTGGTGGTATGAACTTTGAGTGGTCTTTGTTCCTCACATGCACTTTAACTCTTTTAATGTCCTAATTAACAGGGTGTCAAGTTTGCTTTGCCGAACGTCTTTTGGACCCGCCTTTCAGGAAAATATGGAAACACATTTTTTGTCAAAGAAAATGGCATTGATGTAGCTGTGGAGAACGCAGTCGAAGCTATTGTGTCGTGTCTTCGTAGTGAGGATGGATTTTGTACCAGTCCTCCAGATCAAGGCCAAAGTTTGAGAAGCTTGGGTTTCAATTAAAGATACAAAATAACCCAGAATTTTCAGTATTTTGGACCATTCTGTCATCAATTGGATTCATACAAACAGTGAGGTCCACTATAGCAAAATACTGTTGACTACGGCACTGCCCATTATTTCATTAATAGCAATCCGTGATGTATTTGTACTATGAGTCCCCAATCGAGAGCCTTCTAGTTGTTTACAATCCACAAAATGCTGAGATATTCACTATTGCAAAAGGTGTACTACTACTACTAATCTTTAAACTGTAAAATTTCATAATTATGAATGCCCAACTAACACAGAGTGATGGAAACTATTGGTGCACTGCCCTATTACTGAGTGTGATTTCATCTTACCAAGATATATTCAAAAAACTCGTTTCCACTGACTGCACTGAAATCTCTAGTACTAAACCATGATGTACCAGGTACTCATATGATTAAGAACCACTGAGCTTTAATTTTACTCCGAATTACGAAGTAGTAGTAACTCGTAGAGTGCAAACCAAACAGCATCGCGCTGTTAAGCCCTACCGGTAGTACTGTAGTAGTTTTTGTTTCGACTCGAACGTCAATCTACCGTAGAAGAAGGAGCATAGACATGAAAATCTAACACAGTACGAAGTTGAGTACCGTAACAATCTCAACTCGTTTATTTTCATCCCTCGAACAAGTCTGTGTGATGCTATTTGTCGGAAATAATTCTCCACTTTGACGGCTATTTGACAATTGCTACCAAGTAAAACATTTCCACCATGATGCACATTCCATCGTTTTTCGTTGGATCACTGGCTTCCGGATCGGCGTTCCTCCTTGTACACCAGCAGCTTTCGCACCGAGAACACATGTCACGAAAGTGGGCCATGGCAGACAGGGCAGAACATGAACTGAGAGAACGGCTGAAAAATCTGAAAGCTCAAATAAAAGACGAAAAATTTGTGATTGACACCAAGGAAGCCTCGTTTGACACCAAAGCAGTATCAAAATGTTACAATCAAATGCTTGACGAGGCCCATAAATTCTTAAGCAAGAAAGAGTAGAGAAGACGCATTCGGTTGCCTTATAACGAATGGTTCGTAGACTCAGATCATTCGATGGCATTTAGCTTGTCAATTGTCCTTTTTGTGGCCTTCCAGATATACTACAAAAGAGATGAAAAGAAAACCGCTTTCGTCTGGCGTTAGAGCAGAGCAGACGGAAAAATATATGGTTATAAATATTGGTATCATACGAGTTCAAGGAAACTTCATGAAAAGGAAAAGCATCCAACACTTACTAACTATAAATATTTTTGGTCGCTGATAATCCTGCAATCATTTTTCGCTTGAGGCTTCTTGACAAAATTACTGTATAATTATTTAAAGTTAAGTGTCAGAACTCTGATCCATGATGTACTACTTTCCGATATTTCATTCGCCTTTTGCGGTGTAATTGGATGCTTTCACTTGATCGCAAGCGGCAAAATCATTTTCATCGTCTTTGTTTTAGATCAGCCACGTTCGATAGAATGAGAGGCAAAATCCCAGGTCTGTGTGTACGAAATACCATCTTCAATATCGTCTTTCGAAGTTAGGGCAAAATTCCCTGCAGTATCCAGGCAGTTCGTTTTCCAACTTTTCTCTATCAACTTGCTCCGTTTCAAGTCCAACTGCAACGTTTGTTCCGCTCGGACATTCAAGTTGTAGGTGCAAACTTGGACTGTCGACTATTTCAGCGCTTACCCTACCACAGTCATCGCAATACCACCATTTGTCAGCTTGTGATTTCCAAGGAGGAAATGGGACGCAAGACAGCCATTGGCAATTTGGGCATGGAACTGTTTCTCCGTCGCCCTCTAGCAGTAAAACAGTAGTGATGATGATCAAAATAATGCTGATAATGAGACCGAGAAACCGAGTGGCGATTTGCTTTACCCGCGCGAAGCAGTTTTCTTCCATGCCGAAGAACGCGTCAGGAAGCCTTTCCATAGTGCTGAAACCACACAACATTCCGTACATCATTCCACCGAGATCTGATTTTTCAATTTGATGTAGTTGCAAGGAACAATGAAGATCTAAATGTGAGATAATGCTTCACAAGCCACAGATACCGAGTTGGTGTAATTTACAATTTTCCTCGGCATACTTACGCGTGAAATTGTCAACATAGGGTGTCAAACCGATCAGGCAATTCAGAACGATGTCCACGATTAAAAACACCACTACGATAAGATGGTTATTTCGCTGTCCGTTTTCTCCGACAACATCCGAGAAGAGATGTTTCCAATTCATGATAATATCTGAGAGACAGGCGCCGATAAGCCCAAATATACCTCCGGAAGCACCAACCGTGATGTATTCTGGAAGAAATATGGCACTCAAAATTGTCCCCCCAATCGCAGAAATAATGAAGATAAATGCTGTAGCCATCGTTCCGTGCGTTGTTTCAATCGCTTTACCCACAAACCAGAGAGCGAGACAATTTATGACATAATGGACAAGACCTGCATGGAGAATTGCAGAAGAAAGCAACCGCCATACCTCATTTTCAGAAACAATCAAATAGGAATCTTTAGCTCCCATAAGAATGAGAGTATCTGCACTTGGCCCAATCATTGGATTGATATCTAGTTGCTCAACCTCCCAACCGTTCAGGGCGATAGAGACAACCAATGCAACTGTACAAGTAATGAGCAGAAAATACGTGAAAAATGGCCGATTCACACCCTTTTTCTTCTTTGCATCAAAATCAGCCCACGAAAGATAGCTAAACATGTAGTAAAACATAAAAATTTTCTGGCATGAGTACATTGAAATCGTGCAAAAATAGATCAATTCAACATCTCCAACTTACGGTTGTCCATTGGCTCTCCTCCATGCAGCATCTTCTGCCCATTCGACATCAACACGAATAGAGGCAAGGTGGTCGTATAATCCTAATATCCCCCAAGGCTTCTCGTGTCCATATTTCTTCCTTCGCTTCTCTTGGGCAAATTGGAAATCCCTTATTCTTCGGGCAAGGGCTGGCGCCATAAAATCTCCAGCTCCCCAATCTGCATTTAGTGTACCAGCAAGAAGGCGCAATTGAGCGATATCATCTTCCCTTTCTTCCATTCGAGGATGGATATCAGAGGGCCCAATGAATGATGATCGAAGGGGCGTATTAGTTCCCTCGAAGCGGTGATCTTCATCATCATTGACATTTTCTTCGCTTGGAAAACGTTCATCGTATCCATCCAAAGAGTCGCTGTCGTTGGAGTTACTCGATGCAAAAAATACTTGGTTTGTTCCCAAATCGTTTGGCTGAACACCTTCGTTTCCGGTTGGCGAAGAGATTTCCCAGGGATCGATAAATAATGTTGATGTTGTGTTCTCTGCTTGTTTCGATCTTTCTCCATCTTTTCTTTTGGGCCTTTTTGAGCCAAGTGGTGTCAAATCGTAATGCCTATTGAAATCCTCTTCTTCACTCGATCTTGATTGCGACGGGACCGTAGACCCTTCCAAACGTGAATCCACGTTGGATTTGCTTTTTTTCGGCATGGCGCTGATAAATTTTTGCTGTGGAAAAGCTGTCCTCTCCAAGTTGCTTCTATGTTAGAATGGGGCAAGAACGAATCCTAAAGAGCAGTTTAGCACAATTCGTACAATACAGTATTGTTTGGAACAATGGATGAGATGGCAGTTGGGAGAAGGCCACTACTGATTGCCACACATCAACAGATCGTATTCGAACTACAGGTACCGGTACGTACTCGTACCGCACCGCACCGGTCCGACTAGGATCTCGTATGTTTATCTTGTTCGTTACTGTATTGAATTACTGTATTGAATTGAAAATTGAAATAGGAATCGAACGGGCCGGCGACATTCAAATTTTGTAACTTGGCCATTCACGAGTTACGACTAAAGGAACACGTAGAGTTCGTACTTACTGGTACTCGTTAAACGTTCGTACTCGAAGACGAGAAGACTAGAAAATGTTCGGTAGAAGGAACCAGGACTAAATTCGAAAAATGGGGGCGCAAAAAATGACCTCTAGTCTCACGAGTAGTACTCGCATAAGTACCAGTACCTCTCGCACTACTTCGAAAATTGCCATGAAGTTTGTACGTACCGTACATGATACGAGTACTAGTACGATGGAGTACGAAAACTCGAATTTCTTTCTTGCTTTCTTCACTTCTGCAGGATGTATTGTCTACTAGTATCTACTAGTATGTTGTATTAGGGTACGTAGAACCCTGCTGTACCCTGCGTACTTTGCACAGGTCGAACAAAAAGTACTTCTAGTTTCATATCGTTTTTACTCTGTACTATTGAAGCAAGAAACCAGAAACCAGAAACAGTAAAAGCGACTCCGGTAGCGCGCTCTTGTCTTATTGAGCATTTGAGTATTTAATTCGCGTCTATTGCATGCTGTTTCTCTTTTTTCTCCGATTGCATCAGACTGGCGCACGATACGTGTTGGAGATAATTCTTCGATAGTAATGAATGACGACGAAACAGAAACGATTGCGTTGGCAATTAAGACTCTCGAGAAAGGTGTCAGTCGGATATTGAAGCGCCGTGGTGAAACTTTCAACGACAACTCCCGCCATCGCATTCAGATGCTGATAGAGCACGCAAGGCATGTACTGCTTGAACTTTTCAAGAAGCGTCGGAGTCTGAAAGCTTTTCTTCGTTGGTTCCACAAGGAATGGGTCCGAATCGAGATCGATCTTGCAAAACACCCAGTACAGATTTTGCAGCATTCAATGCAGCATTTTCTACGGTGCCAAGACGCTTTCATATTGCTCACTAGTGGAGAGTGCAGACATGAATACGATATGAAACTCGCGAAAAAAACAAAGTTTCGTTCTAGATTGTCAACGCTACAAGAGCGAGACGATGGCTACACTGCCCTATACAAGGGCACCGGAGTTTATTCAGGTTATGGTTTTGATGAGTTCAACAACGAGATCGTTGGTATTCGGGCTCTGCTCGTGAAAGAGCTGAAGAAATATCACAAAGCTCCTTGGGATTACCTGGAGCGACAAGGGGGGACGGAGCTTCTAGAAAACCTGCTTGATCAGCACGAGCGCGAACAGAAAGAACTACAACATGCGCTGCAATCATTGAAACGACTAATGATCGAGAATATGACAAAAAGGCTGAAGCCGAAAAATTTAAAGTTTGCCACGCAAGACAAGTTGGAGCGACTGAGTCTATCTACAAAGGGCCAAACGATAGACTTGGAACGAAGGGGAGATGCGTTCCAAATAGACGGTCCTTTGCTTCCCAATGAGAACAAAAATCCAGATGATTGGCATTCTTTTTCACTCGAGATTAAAGAGGAAATGGATCAATCATCTATCCCTCCTTCCAAAATTCAAAAGCGAAGGAGGGTCATTATAGACAGTGACGATGGCAGTGACAACGACGATGAAAGAGAGGACGCGCCTAAAAAGAAAGGCAAGAGACAGAACAATAAAACATCTCAAGCATCCGGTTTGGTGGTCCGAGTTGACTCCTCTCGAACCAATGCAGAAAAAGAAGATTCTTTAGCTGCAATCAAGTCTCAAGTAGGTATCAGCACACAGGACTTGGAGCAAGCACGAGAAATTTTGGAAGAAGAGAATGCAAGCACAAAGAAAGTTTTCGAGGATGAGAAGGTTTTGCGCTTAGAAAAGATTCTGAGGCGAGTTCTAGCACGAGATGAGATAGACGAAAATGAAGTTTGGGACGCACGTGAATGTCTACGGTATGCTTGTATGGAAGCAGGAAACAAATATTTGTGGGACTCAAGTGTTGGATGCGTTGAAAAAGCGATTGAGAACTTTGAAAAAGCTAAAGAGATTGTGGAGTTGCAGCAAAAGTCACAACAAAAGGTGACCAGTAGTGAGGCATCGCTTTTTGTACAATTAAATCTGTTTTATCTTCATGGACAGGCTCTTGTCAATATCGGCATCTCCTTGGTAGATACCTCCCACCATAGGTTAAGCATTCCAAGGGTTAAGGTAATGCGGGCAATAGAAGAGTTTGAAGGAGCGAAGAAACAAATGGCAAAGTTACGGAGTTTAGCAGGACATACTAGTCAGTCAACTTCGAGGGCAAGTGTTAAGGAAGCAAACTCCTACATTCTCAAGTCAAAACAATTAGAATCACTAGCTTGTCGTTGGATGGGACGGGGATTATGGTTAATATCAGAAGAAATGAAAGCAGTCACGTCATTTGAGGAGGCATCGCAATTTTTAAACGATGACATACTGCGGAAGTGGCAACGAGACGTATACTTTGAAATTGATGTTTTCGATATAACAGCCGAAGCTATTTATGCAACTTGTGATTTGGCTGATCGCTGTTACTCGATGATGGAAGCGCTGGATCACAAATCGCCATCATCGCGGAAAAAGGGGCATGATTTGTTGGAGATCATCACTCGTGCTCTAAATCGTCATATTGGAATAATCGAATCAATCGAGCTATGTTCTTCTCCAGTTCGGACAAAACATTTTCGCGATGAATATGATATTTCATCGATCGAGGACGTGTTGTTATACCGCAAGAACGTCATGAAGTGGTGGAAAGAACAATGTGAAAATGAAATGAACGATGTGAAGCCTAACCAAAATTGCAACAGTCGTCTCCCAGAATCGAGATCAGATAGCTCTTCGTTGAAGACGAAGAAGATACTGACATCTGACGGCAGTAGGAGGAAACGTTACGAAAAACGTCGGAAAGCATCTTCACACATGCATGGCAACAGATCAAATAATTCACAAGATTTTGGACAAGAGAACGATGCCGTGTACGCTCTTTCCGGGCATTATCAACCACGCCCACCAGTCAAGTTTCGGAGATGGGGAGATGAATATCTTATTGCCCAGCAGCAACTTGCGAAAAGTGAATGTGATGACCCACATGAAGAAACCAATTCATCCTTCTTAACTTATCCGTCTATTGCTCCGCCAAAGCCGGTCGAATTTCAAGTTTAGGCAAAAGCTGGAACCGGACAAGAAAAAATTCATCTGATGTCCATCAATTATGACATCCATGGTCCACTTATACACTTGGACACATGTCCTCGAATCGACGAAATAGGGATCCTGATTTCTTCTTCTTGTCTGACGGTACTTTTACACCCAAGGTTACAAAGTAGCATAATATATTTTTGAAGCCAAATTAAGTAAGCAGATTCTTTCTTGTTTTTTAAGAACAGAAACTCTGCAAATGACCGTATATATTTATGAAATCTAAAAATGGAGACTCTTCGCTGAGGTTAATTTTTGAGTCATTTAAAATTATGATACTATTGCAACGTGCAGAGATTGGTAACGAACAAACAGTAGGGGGGGTTAAGCCAACTATGGTTCTATTCCCTACTGTACTCGTTTTTACACTCCTACTGAAAACAAGTACTGCCAGCACTATTCGTCAACGCCGCACCTCCCAGGGGCCTCTCTTAAACCATGATACAGTAACTGTTGCAATAACTGTTAACTTCTATCAAGTCCTTCTTGGAAGCCGAACACAATGAAACAGGAGACCGATTTATGATTCGAAGTGAAACCTTAATATCTTACAACACTACAATCGATAACACAGTAACATCACCACAGAAGAAGGGTAGGCGAGGCGCTGCGCTGTCATCCGAACACGATCATGATAGACCAGACAGATGTAGTGAAAAAGTTTGCTTCGCTTATAGGCACAAAACAGTCATCAACAGAATCGCAAGTTTCTTCCTCGTTGCTGAGAGCTGAGCCCAAGGCCTCGAATTCTAGAGAAATGTTAATGTGCATTTCCAAATCTGTTACAATCGACGAAGTAGTTTGTACGCTGCCATCTCTTGACATGAGGAAATTGGATGAAGAACCAGATTCAAATCCGTTGCCCGAAGTGGGAGAACATTTCCCGATGAGGATGGAAGCTTCAGTTCTTAACAATGCTGCTGATGCCTCTGCTAAAGCGGCTCAAGTAGAACAGAAAGCAGCACAGACGCTTGGATCATTGACAGCTTGGACTAGGTCCTCGGTGATTTACGCTTCGAAGCAGATATCCGAAAATGCCGCCGAGTCATTTTCTTCGCTGGTGGACTCTCGCGTCCGAGCCTGGACTCTCCTTTTGTTGAGGCATTCGCTTACAACTGGGGACGACGCCAGTCGCTCTCGGCTACTTAGTATGCTTGCATCCACCATTAAAGTAAATTCTGCAGAAACATCCTTCAAACCCCAACCTCTGCCGCCGAACTTAGCGAACATGGCTAAGAATGAAAATGATCCCGATGTCATACTCCCGTTGATTTTTGAAATCGACTTAAAGATAAGTGTGCGAAACAACGATTGTACCGTAACACTAAGAGCACCCGGTACCATATCAGGTGAGTTTTTTTTTCTGAATTGTTTTACATTGATATTTCAAATTGAGATGTGTTTCTTATGGTCATTCGTAATCTAAACAATAACTATCCTTTGTGGGAAATCCGTTCCTGATCTTCGCTTCGACCAAATCTTTGGACTTTAGCTGACTTCGATCGCCTCGAGAACAAAAAAATGGGGATGGGATTAAAACGTGTTGATGTACAATTGAATACTGGAACACTGCTGGAGTCCATGGTGAATGAGGCACGGTTGGTTGTGTTCAATGCAGTAGAGGCTGCAGCGAAGTCAAACTCTGCGACGAAAGGGAATGAGCACAATAGAGTTAATCCTTCTTCACAGTTGTCGTCGGGATTTTCTAGCTTTAAATTATCCGCCCCTTCGACGAAAGGTTCTAGTGGGGGCCTTCCGCCTCCCTCTCCACAAGGGGGAAAGCATCAACCCTCGCATCGTGCTTTGAAGGCACAATCTTCATCGTTGAGGCTTGGCAGTGTTTTGTCGTCTTCCACCTCCACTTTTCAGAAAACAAGATCTGTTCAGTTCAACAGCTCAGACTTGAAGCCGAAATCAAATATGATACCGACGCCCAAGCGACAAAAGTTGGCGACAGCTGCTCGCTTGACAAGCATCAAATCTTTTGGTCGACCCCATGGTGGCGATTTTGGGGCGGAAGGTGGCCCGAAAAATGCAACATTTGGAGACTTTGGCGGCGGTAGCCAAAGGTTCTGGGGGCGAGACGGAAAGCTTGCAAGCAAGCCGAAACCGATGCTACCCTMCGAGACAACCGATATGATGACTTCCCAAACACGAAGAAATGCAAACGCTTCGTTTGATATTCAAAAGCCTCCTATTCACTTAAGTAGCGGGTCCGATGTTAGGATGGGTCTAGGAGGAAAGAAGAAGCCACCAGCTGAGAATCAAGTTCCACCATCCATTCCACGGACTGCAACCGCGCTTGAGGCCATGTACATAAAGAAGTTTGGCGGGAAATTCTGAATTTCATAATAGAATAGGAAAATAGTGAGTTGTTGATTTGTGCATATTTTTGTCAACAGCATTAAATCAGATTCCCACTTTAGATATTTTTGAAAGCCAAAGAAATGGGTTTTGATTTCTAGTATTACATTCAGTTCAGTCCAAGAATACAAGACTTTTTTTGAGTCCTTCACCTTTTTCCAAGCATTGATTTTGGATCGTAACATTTTTTCAGAAATGTTGTTGTGTGTCTAGTAGTAGCAAAAATATATTATGCTGGTATTGATAGAATAACATGAGACAATGGGTGATTAGCACTACCATTAATCTAAAATCAACTTCAGGCAGATTTACAGAATAAAATGTAGACTAGACTGAGTTTTTATATTGTTTTGAATGTACTTCCAACGCCATCACAGACAATCTACCAGTAAATCTTGAGCTGAACTGAAAAAACTCATCTTCTTCATGCATCAGCAAAATAATGGTACACAGTCTGATTTCAACATAAGTTTCAGCCATCTGTTCTTGTTATCATTAAGATTCTACATTCCTTTGGGTCTGGATGGATTTCTAATATCTGCTGGTGTACTATTAAGTTTAGAGCTGCCTTCTTCTTTGAAACAATTCCTATCATTTTAAACAACAATCTGAACTAGAGTTTTTAGATACTTGAATTGTCTAGATTTTCTGGCATGCTATGGTACAACAATAAGTATGGAACTTGTTGTACTGCTGTTGATCATAGATTGAAAATGGAAACTCTCTGATGCATTTCTACCATGACCAACGGGGGCCATACAACTACTAGTAGTAGTAGTGGTACTAGAAGAAATATTGAAACAAATGTGTGCAGCCTCAAATTACAGGCATACATTCATCATTGTTGTTTTGTGATCTGGTTGGTACTACAAGAAGCAGTAGTAGTAGTACTGGTGCCCTGCCATTATTATTGAATAACATACTGACAGGCTGCTACCAGCAGTAGGCTGCTATTAGCATTTTTCAGTATTCAAACTGAATATCCTCACTACTAAACACCCATTCGAACTTGGATCTCTGATCCTGATCCAGATCTTCATTGTCATAGTAGCTCCTTTTCACCTGTGGTGTTGGTATCCTCTTTGACTTGATTTTTTTTAGTTTTTTTACATACTTTTTCTCAAAAACAGGTATTACATAGAGCATGCTTGACAAAGCAAATCTACCACCACTTCCTTTCCATGATGAGACCCCATACACATCCATCTGTTGCCATTTTTCCCCTTCTGATCTGAAGGTGGTGGAAGCTTCCATATCTTTTGCCATCACCAACATTTACTTGTTATATTGCATCTGAGTTTATGAGGAAATGATTCACAGAAATGGCTGTGATACTGATACAAATTCCACTGCCAGTACAAATATGATCACTCAATATTTCCATCCACTGACAACAAGCAGCAAAGAAGCTCCAGAAAATCTTACTATTGTGTTTAACCTTGTCAACTAGTAATAGTACTAGAAGAGGCACTACAATGTTGGGCAGAGCAATTACTTGTCCTGACTAGGGAGAAGAATGCTCCCAGCTGCTCCAAGGGGCTGCACCTCCCTCTGAGGAGGTGTTGTGGAGGAGCAACTAGCAGGTTCTAGTATGCATGCTGACAAGCCAATTAAGGTTTGGGGCTGGACTCAAGATACAGAGAAGGTGTTGGTTCACAGTTGGAATGGATACTAAGAGCCATGTCATAATTATGTCAAAGTGCACTGAATAAGGAAACACATCCCAAGTACTACAGCACTGCCTAGCCAATGAAGTCAAGATCTCTTGCAGTATACAAAGGCGTACTAGATGGTGAAGTAGTAGTCATAAAAAATAAAAATATATAAACACTCACTTGTTCTTTATGGAGCTGGGCCCATATGTGGGTAACAGTTGCAATGAGGATATTTCTTGGAGGTAGAGGTGCCAATGGGTGCATTCTTATTACTCCAGGAGCATCTGTTTGTGACACTTCTTCTTGAGAAGGGGTCCTGGACAAGTTCATTGATGGTAATGCAAGCATGATGCTGTTTAGATGGGGTGGCATGCAGGGTAAAGAGACTGGGGATAATAGATCAAAAAGATCTAGTTTGGGTTTGGGTGGGGGGTGTTGTTGCTGCTGCCCAAAACTAATTTCAGAAACAACAATGTTGTGACTGGAATGAGCTTATGGTCTATGTACTGGTGGGGCATGAAGCTGAAGCCCATGAATGGAATCTTTTTGAAACTGAGTATGTACTAGTAGCATGCACTTCAGGCGTTGTTCTACAAAGGAAAGGTTTTTGTTGAATCCTGGTGGGATCTTAGGGTGATGGTGCTGTTGCTTTCCAAAAAAAATGTCAGAATCAGCAACATTGTGACCAGAAGACACTGGTGCTTCCAGTCTGCTATAACTAAAACTGGAACTACATGGAGAGACTGGGGAACTTCGTCTGTAAAATGAGTATGTAGCATAATTTCTACTAGGCGTTGATCTTTAAAGGAAAGAAGGTCTGGGATGGACTCTAGGGACTCTGGTTGCTGTTGTTAGGAGACACAAATGTTGTAAACAATAAATTTGTGAACAGAAATTGTTACTTCCAGCAGTCCATTAAAATACTGGAACTGGTGCATGGAGCTTGAGCTGGGGAATCTTCTATAATTGCTTGAGTATGTAAATAGTAGCATAAACGCTAGGCAGTATGTAAATAGTAGCATAAACGCTAGGCATTGGTGGTGCCCTCCTTTTTCAAAGGAAAGGCATTGGTTGGATATTGGGGGCTTGTATTGTTGGTGTTGTTGCTGTCCAACACAAATATCAGGGACAACAACAACATTGGGAACAGAAACTTGTTGTTCTAGCCTGAAAAATACTGGAACTGGTACATGGAGCTGAGGCTGGGGAATCTCTTATAGTAAACTGAGTGTGTTGTTCTGCAAAGGAAAAGTTTTGGTTGAATACTGGGGTTTTGGGCTAGCAGTAGTAGTAGTGTTGCTATCTGGCATGTTTGTTGGAAATAAGTTCAACACTCCTACCAGAAGATACTTCCAGAGAAACAGACAAACTACTATCAGCTGCTGGGGCAATGGGGAGGAATAAGGAAACTGATTTGTATCAGTATGAACAGCTTGGGGCAATTTCTTGAATCTAAAAGATTGAGATTGAACATCTGGCAGAAAAATTAGAAAGAACAACAACCTTATGACTGGTCTAAAATTTCCTGGTGGAACTGGGGCATGGAGCTAGGAAAACTTCTTTGAACTGAGTATGATTTAGTATATAGTATGCCAGGACAAGGTGTTCTTCAAATGAAAGGTCTGGGTTGGATACTGCTGGAGGCTGGAGACTGGTGCTGGTGCTGGTGCTGGTGTTGTCTGGCACAAATATCATAAGCAACGGCATTGTGACCAGAAGATACTACTACTACACCACCAGCTTCCAGAGAAACAGAGAATGAATCCAACTGAGACAACAAAGTGCTAGAAGCCGGGGAGAAAAGAGTATTAATTGTATGAGTGTCTTGGCTATACTAGTGTTTTAATGGTAGTAGAGACCAGGGAGGTATTATATTTCCCCCTTTAGAAGGGGATATCACCATGGTGTTTTGGATGTCAGCAGGTGATTGATAATTTCCAGAATTGAAGTGTACATTGTCAAAAAGGAAAAGTTTCTTCTTCTAAGAACTAAATACTAAAAAATTTGAACCTTTCATTACGGTATATAGAATTTTCAAACAAATGTTCAATACAGTTGTAGATTTTAGGCCCTTACTTTCACATGTAATGTATGCACATGCTCAGCAGTGGTAGTACTAGTAGTACTAGTGTTGAATTTGAATCCCACCAGTTGTGGAACCAAATAGTTTTGTGCACATGTCGTGCTCCAACTGCTGATTCCTAATTTAACAAGAAGTGATACTACAAGAAGGTAAAAAGATATCTCAAAATCAGCACACAGTAGGAAAACACATAGAAAATTAACCAAGGGTCAACTCACTCTAACAGCAGCTAGTAGTACTACTAGCTAGTACTTCCTCTGTCAGGAGTTAAATGTCCCTTTTGCACCTTTACTACTGAAATAAGGTCATTATTTGGGCGATTGGAAAGCTTCTTTTTGCACTTAACAGATCTATTATACAGTCATAAATTAATGTAGATTGAATATAGTCAATGTGTCTGACGTACTTGCTGTAACTACTTAAAGAGTCTGGATTTTGGCATATGATTTTCATTTTACTGGTTGAAAGGGTTCTGCCGGTCATTTAACAACTCCACCAACAGCTATAAACCCAGGAATGAGAGCTTTATCACAATATTCTTATCTTGCTTATTGAGAACGTTTCTGTGCGGTCGTTTCTTGTTTGAAAGAGGTGCACCGTACCATTGTCAAAATTTCATTTGCTGTGTTAATAGTACTTGTAATTTTATGTGTGAAAATAATTTTTGATCACACGCATGCTCATTTCCACTTTGGAGTACTGATTCTACACGTTCTACACAGTCATATTCAATCATATACAACTTGGGGTTAAATAAAAATATTCATGAGTGTTAATTAAACTCGAGGACACTCTTTAAGGACAACAAAAAAGGGTCATGGGTACATTTAATTCCGGACGGAGGAAGTAGTACTAGAGTAGTAGCAGTACTAGTACTAGTAGTAGGTATCATATCTTGGTGGTGGTCCCCAGCAACAGACACTTAAGAATGGTGATAGGAACATGGTGAATTGAAAGCCAATAAAAAGAGGAATAGTCATGTGGGGGGTTGTTGTAGGGGATTATTTATTATTAAAACAAGGTATATGACTGTTTATACTAGAAGATAAAAAATGTACAAGAAGAACAACTGCTGGTGCGTCCAGAATTTTCTTGCCCATGCTCTATTATTTGAGGGAAAGGATGGCCAGACTCGACTCGGTCATTCACGGGTAAGGACACGTGTTCGTATTCGTCGTATTCGATGAAATTCGTTTTGAAAAAACTAGAAACGGGTGCAAGGAATCTTCTCTTATTCGAAACACATGACCTGCGCTGCTCTCCTCGTAGCTTAAATGCTATCTCTCTACTGCACGCAACGTCTCATTTTATTTTGGTCCTCCTAAGTATTAAACTCCTTTAACGTGTCTTTAACCAGCGCGAGTGAAATATTAAACTCCCGGACAAATACAACTTTTGTCGGCAACGAATACACACTTGAAAGAGGATAGAACATGTTCCAGGGCGATGCACGTGCCGGTCAAACGATACGCGTTAGAATTACGAAGACGGGTAGTACGATACGGTTCGGTGGACCATCGTATCGACCACGAAAATTTTAACCACATTAACGAAAAGCAGTTGTACGGTACTGCCGGTAGTAAGTAATGTACTGTTCATTCTGTACTCTACCGTACCAGGTACTTGCAACTGCTACGAATACAACACGGGACCAATAAAGAAAGCCAACGACGGCAGAGTTTAGGCACGGTTACAGGGTACCTGTAGAAAGCCAGAGGACTCAATTTACCCTAGTACACCTACGAGTACTACTAGTCCCATGATTACACCCACCGGGTACCAAACCCAAACAGCACAACAAACTCTTGAGACTCAACACAACCCAGTACCGTAACCAAAAATATCACCAGTGGTGAACACTAAAAGATCACGATTTCCACGCAAGAAATAAGAAATACTTCTCTCCAATTGAGACCGCGAAAAGGGGAGAGCCCACTTGGTTGGAGGAAGATAACACTAAATTACAATCCGTTGATTGCTACTTTTTGGAGCCTTTTTTACGGTGTCACTTTTCACATCCTCCCGCGTCGGATTGAGCCGTTGCCACAACTGCAATGATGGAGAGAAACAAGGGCGGAAGATCGTTGCACCGTGGAAGACGAATGAATGCGACGAATGCATTGTCTGCTTCAACGTTATTCCAATCCCCAGATGCATTGTGTCTCCACGTTGCAATTATTTTTCTTTTTGTGGGTTCGGTGCCTATCGGACAAGCGCAAACACAAGCCAACACACCGAGCACACCAAACACGCCTCCTCCTGTACAATCAAGTAATGTTGCATCGCCGGTTGATTCGGCTTTACCGACACAACCTCCGTTGAGTCCCCCGATTCCGACGAATGCCGTCACGCCTCCAATTCCTATGCCTCCAATTCCTGCACCTCCCTCTCCCTTTCCCACTTCAATACCTGGGCCTACCGTTCTGCCCACTAACTTTCCGACGGGTACTCCATCTGTGCTCCCAAGCTTTTCTTCTCAACCAAGCTCACTGCCATCGAAGTCATTTGAACCGACTATATCCGACAGCCCTACCGCCCAACCCTCAGCTGCGCCAACAGGGCAACCCTCGTGGCTAGAACCCAGTTTTAAGGAGAACAAATTTCGTCAAAATATCCAGGTGGGAAACGGAAGAGTATTTACGGACGACGAGCAAAATATCATAGAAACAATTTACAGACTCCAAACACGTGAATTTGCCCCCGTCCCGGAGACAGAGTTGGGTAAAATAATGACAGTGTGCACCGTAGATAGGCAAAAAATATACACCCCAAGTGAAGAATCTACAGAGGGCGAAAGGTGGCTGTCATACCATTCTAATGTTAACGAGAGCGAAGCTTTGCTTTTGCGTCGACGGAGGAGACGACGCGTAGAAGATGCTCTCGATGTTGAAAACAACGATGTTACTGTGGTGGTGGACTTTACAATGCAATACGAAAGCCGATATTTCAATGTGACGCAATATCCGAAAGAATTCCAGATTTGGACCAATGACCACCTGGACGAAATTCTAATACAAATGCAAGCACTGAAACTCAATGTGACCAAGGTGGAGAAAGCGCAGCGGATAGTGGTCAACACACAGGCACCATCGATGCCGATATCATCTTCTCCAAGCATTGCACCATCTTTATTTCCAACAGTGAGTCATCAGCCGTCCCCGGTTCCATTACCCAGCTTAAGTCCCACAGGAGAGAACGAAGATCCCGGTGGTGTCGAAACAACCAGTCTGATTGCGATTTCTGCCTCCGTCATTGTTGCAGTGGGAATTCTTTTGGTTGGTGTGTTTTTCTGGTACAGAAAGAGACAAATCAGTCTCCAGAGGGAAGAATCGGCGAAGCTCGACTACCAAACCAATGCCATGAGATTGTCCGAGCTGGATTCGGATGGAAGGTGGACTACCACTGCCAATGCTGGTTCAAACTTGCAGTTTAGAAATTCGGATTCGAAGGCATACGGGTCCTCCTTTGCGAAGCAACCAAAAACTCCAACTGGGTTGTCGGGTGCCGGCGTAATACTTTCGCCAAATGGATCACTCCGCTCGAATCCCTCGCTCGTCTCGGAGGGCATTCTGATTGGCGGCGACGATTCGGGCGACGAGGCCGACGCAACACAGATCCTGGCGGACGAGTTTGATCAGTACCAAGACCAAAACCTCGAAAAAATGAGAGCCGACGTCGAGGGAAACCTGAAGGGTTGCGACGGGATGATGAGCCAGGCCGTTGCAAGGGCTCTGATCGACGACGTCGACTACAATCCCTATTCCGGCGCGTATTGGGGTGGCGATGGCGAAGATGCGTCCGCTGCCGAAATCGAAGCCAGTGCTCTGGGATCGGTCCTGGATTGGCTCAAGCGCCACGGCAATGCATCGGGCAGAGAAAAGTGAGTATCGAAACCACTCTGGTTCTTTGTTTTGTCAGATTGCATTGCGTTGTGTCAAGGATTTAGCGTATTCCTGCTTGCATGGCTGGCCACTGCCCATTTTGCACTCACACGTTTTTGTGTTTTTCCCGTGGCAGGCGCGAATTTTTCCAGGAAACCCTGAACAAAATGACGGCCAGCGTCCGGTATGGCTTTGTCGGACCCGAAGACGGCGCCCGAACCATCCACGAGTGCGCCGGGTTGCTGGGCCTGCAGCTGGCCGTCGAGATCCCCGTGACCACGATCGTGATCTCGGGGATGCGGAAGAGCACCACGGAGGAAGACATCCGCGACACGCTCGGCGTCTTTGGCGACATTGCCGTGGCCGCGGTTGCGCCCAAGCAGAAGGGATACGGCATCCTGCGCTTCACGTCCGACAGTGCCGCGGAACGGGTCATGAACCGGTTCCGAACGGAGGAGATCGTCCTCGACGACGTGGCGGTGCAGCTGATCGTGATCAAACCCGGTTCCAGCCTCGAAGCCAAGGAGCCCAACGGCGTGATATAGAACAAAACCGGTGGCACGTCCACAACACGATGCCTAGTAGCACGAAGATACTACAGTAGGAGTTTTTGCAAACCTTAATAAAATTGGCGTTAGACTAGTGAACGGCATTCTAGTAGTAGGATCCGCGGTTTGGCGGCCGCGGATGGGATTCTTTGGGGATTCGATTGCCTCGGTGCTCCAAGCGCACACGACGCCTGCCTACGTGTGCTTCTTGGTAAACGCCGCCAGGGACGCCGCCGTGGTCCATTCCGACGCCGCGCCCGCCTTCCAGTGGTCCACGAGGTCCCTGACGAAGGGACCCGCCGCCGCCCCGGTTGCCTCCCGGATCGCGGATGCCGCGGCCTCCGCGGCCCCTGCGTCGCTCTCGACCGCCAGGGAGCCGACGGGCTCCTTCCACTGCCGGCCGAGGTCCTTCCCGAACGCCCGGACGGCCTCGGATGCCAGCACCGCCCCTCCCCCCCCGGCCAGGGCCAGGAGGGCCTCGTTGTCGACCACCAGCAGGACCGGGTCCGTCCCCCCGCCGCTGGTTGCCGCCGCCAGGCTCGCCACGATCCGGAGGGCCACCGGGCCGGGGGCCTTCTCGTGCAGCAGCTCGGGCGCCGTGAACCAGCCGACGATCTCGGTGGTTGTCTCGTTGCTGGTGTCCTCCTCGAGGGAGGACTGCACCAGGGAGAGGGCCGTCTCCACCAGGACCCCCGTGGGCGTCTCGTGGCAGACCGGGTAGGCCCCGTGGACGGAAATCCTTCCCCCCTCCCGGCTCCCGACCAGGACGCCGTGGACGGGGGACGCCGGGTGGACCGCGGCGTGGGCCGCCACCAGGACGAACACCTCGGGCGCGAGGCCGACGCTCTCGATCTTGGTTCCCTCGTCCGCCATTCTGCTCGTTGGGTTGCGCTTGCGTTTCGTTTGCGTTGGTTCGGTTTGGGTGTGTCGTTTGGGCCTGGCGTCGGGTGTTAGTACTGTACTGTATTGGTCGAGATTGCCCGTGCTCGTTTGTGCTCGTACTCGTATTGGTGCTTGCTGTTCCCTCCTCCGAAACAAACCGGGCCTTGCTTTGCCATTGTTTTGCCCTTCGTCGTTGGGTCACGAGCAACTTTGTTGACGAGATCAACTTGTTCCCTTTTTTCGCCCCCAAATGGAAAACAACTGCCCTATGGTACGTCCTACGACAGGATGTACGTACGGCAGGAACGCACAGCACTCGTACCTGTACTTACTCGTGCTCGTGGCACTTTGCTTACTGCTCGTTCTGCTGTCCTGCTGCCTGCCCCGGACGCCGGAAGCATTCACGGATGGCGGACGGACGTGCTAACGCGAAGGCCACCGAGTCCATCGCACAACGCGGTAAAAACTTGAACAGAGAAAAATGGAAAAATACGAAACGCAGGAACGCGGAATGCGGAATGCGGTTTGAAGGAACAGTTTCTGGTCGGATCGATGGATCGATCGATATCGAATCGATGCAACAAAACCCCATTGCGGTGTACATCGTACCCTACCCTACCACAGAACACTTTTTCTTCCGTCCGCCTTTCCAGCCATACCATAGGACGTCCTGTTGCCGGGCATTGATTCTGTCGGACGATCCAAAACAAACACCAACCAACCAACCAATCAATCCAATCAACCAATCCATCCAATCAATCATTCCATCGATCAATACGCATAGATTCTTTCCAGAAAAATAAAGACAACAGCAGCATGGACGACGAGGATTCCTTCGCGGAGGTCCTCTCCGGTCTGAAGGGCCTCTCCCGAAAGGGCCGCGATCCCCGATCGATCCGCGTGACCACCGTGATATCCGCCCTCACGGACGTCATCGAGGGAGAGGTCTCGCCGGCGAGGGTGTACGCGTCGGCCGTCACGACGCTCGAGGGGACCCTCCACAAGGACCACGGCGGAAACGTCGACGTCGTCTTTGACGCACTCACGACGCAGGCCGCCCTGCTGAAGATCCTGGCGGCCGTCGTCCCCCACGTGGCGCCCCCCACGCTGGGGGCTACCCTGGGCCTAACGTCGCGGGTCCTGCGCGGGGCCGTGGCCTCGTCCCTGTCGATCCTGGAGGACGGAGGGGCGATGGCCGAGAGCGGGACGATGCTGGACACCTCCGACGGCCTCGGCGCCCTGTCGGCGGTCCTCTGCGAGGCCTGCCGGGCGGCCGGGGAGGTCCTGCGGCACCTCCCGGCAAAGGCGGCGACCGAGGCGTCCGTCCGGCAGCTGCTGATGGGAACGCTGGTGTGCCTCCTCAAGGACACGCGGCAGACCGTGCAGAAGGCCTCGAGGGACGCCCTCAACGGCCTGCTGCTGATGGACTCCGGGGGGGGATGCCACCCGGCCGTCAAGAAGACCACCAACCGGTACGTCGACCTGCACATCGACAACTACCTCAAGCACCCCAACCGGCAGGCGGAGATCCAGGACCTGATCGAGCTGACGGGCTTTCTGGGTCGGTCGCTGGTCTCGCTGGACTTTACGGCCATCGGGGGCCGGCTCATGACCGTCCTGGTGGACCTGCTGAACGAGGAATCCTCGTCGTCGGCCTCGCCGGCCCGCCCGGTCTTTGTCGCCAACTCGCACGGATCGACCCTGAAAATCCTGACGGTCAACTCGATCCTGGCGGCCGTGCTCTCGCTGCTGGAGGCGGACGACGACATCGGCCTCAAAAAGACCGAGCAGCTCGACGCCTTTGCCTCGAGGGTCCTGGCCAGCCTCGTGCAGGCCCGGCCGACGCTCGTCTACCGGGAGGGAGCCGCGGAAATCGACCTGCTCGAGAGCGGGCGGACCATCTACGGGGAGGTCCTGGTGTCCTCCGCCCAGCGCGTCCTGAACAATGCCTCCACGCGGGAAATCGGGGCGAAGCTCCTCCCGATGGTCCTGCAGCACGCGCTCGGTCTCTCCCGGCCGATCGAGGCCGGCGACTCGGTGGGGACCGACGTGGGGGAAACGCTCTTTGCCGAGGTCTCGCAGCTCTTCCGGGTCCAGCTGAAGGCGCTCGCGAGGGAGAGCCCTTCCCTGCACAAGGCCTGCACGCAGAACTGCCTGAGGGTGCTGAAACCGGTCGTTGCGAGCGATTCCTTCGACGACACCCACGCCCCGGTGCTGCAGCCCCTGGCCCTGCTCCTGCAGCAAATGCCGCTCGGGGGAGGGGAAGAAACATCGTGCCTCCGGTCGCTCGTCGAGCTGCGCTGCGGGGAGTCGATCGAGAAGGAACTCCAGCGGAAGATCGAGGGTGCCCTCGATTCCCTCATCCAGGGCATCGGGCTCGAGCGGTTCTGGAAGGCGATCGACTTTCCCGGTCTGTGCGGCGAGAGCTCGAAGAATGCTTTGCCCAACAAGTACGCGTGGCTGATCGAGGTGATGAAGGTGTCCAGTTTCGTCATCTCCGACAACGAGCTGCACCTTTCCTTCTTCCAGGATCAGGTCTTGTCTCTCGCCCGCGAGTTCGACGCCCTCTCCGCCAAGGGCAAAGCCTCGAGCACCGCCGTCTTTCGGAGCCAGGTCATCAACCTCTGGGCGTTGTTCCCGGTGTTCTGCCGGGCTCCGGTGGACATCGGGTCCTCCTTTCCGAAACTCGCACCGATTCTGATCAAGGCCATGAACGACGATCGGTATCCCGAATTTGTGGTAAGCAATGAATCGAATCGAATCGAATGGAATGGAACGGTTCCTTCCATGTATTTTTGTCCGATGGAAACTGCCGCTCACACGAAGCTTTTTAATGTATGCATTCACTTTCAGACCGCAATTTGTGCCGGATTGGACGCGCTCGCAAAAGGTGTGCACAGCCGCAAAAACGAACTCGAGGAACTAATCGACGGAGAAGACGGAGACCAAGCGCGCACGGAAGCAAGAGTCATGGAACAGATCTCGATGAAACTGCTGCCGTCCCTCTTCAAGCTCGTCGATTCCCTCCACGACACGAGTTCCGAATCGTCCAAGAAGTCCGATGCCGGCGAGGAAAACATGGAGACGGACGAAACCGTCGTCGAAAAGGACTCGACCGGAGTGTTGGTCGTTACCCGATCGATTGCGTCCGTTGCCAAGGTAGCTCCCAGCGCACAGATCCAGCGCCTGTTCACAAAGGTCGTCCAGAAAATGCTGGAATCGACGCAGTCGAACGACAAGAAGACGATCGAGAAAATGTGTTCGCTTCTCGCTCTGTCCCAGGCCCTCGTGATTTCGGAGTGCCTGAACGACGCCAGCATATCTCTGTTGTATCGATCCCTCAAGCCGATCATACGAACCGACGAGACGCCCTCGAGGATTCAGAAGCGTGCCTACAAGGTAATGGCCGAAATCTGCAAGAGGTACCACTCGTTCATTGCGGAACCCACGCGTTTGAAGGAAGTCATGGAGCTCTTGTCGTCAACGAGCGCGACGTCGCAGGTCTCGGCGCGGTTCATGCGTCTCAAGTGCCTGGCGCTGGTCGTCGATGGATTCGAGCACTCGGCTACGGCCGAGCGACAGGTAAGCACCGAGCAAGCACTTCACTTCACCGCACCACCCCGCCTTGCGGCCCAGGGCCGCGGTGTGCGTCCGGATCATCACCATCGCTTTCTCACAACCGTTCTCTTTTCCCCCCTCCACCCAGAAACTCGTCTCCTCCCTGGTCGGGGAGACCCTGCTGTGCCTGAAGGACTACAACGCGAAAACCCGGGACGCCGCCTACAAGCTCCTGCTCTCGCTGCAGGCGTGCCACGGCGACCCGGCGGGCTTTGTCCGGACGATCGCCGCCGCGGTCGGGTCGGGCACCCCGCACATGCGATCGGCCGCGGTCACGGCGCTCGCGAGGCTCGTCTTCGAGCTGTCCAAGGACGACCAGGACGTGCAGGACCTGCTCCCGGCCCTGCTCAAGACCGTCCTGGTCCTGTCGGACGATCCGTCCCGGGAGGTGACCAAGAGCATGGTGGTCTTTGTCCGGGTGTCGGTGTCCGCGGCCACCCCCGAGCAGCTCGAGCCCCTCCTCCCGGACATTCTGAACGGCCTGCTCAAGTACCACCGGGGCAAGGACCGCTTCCGCGAAAAAATCAAGATCATCATCAAGAAGCTCGTCAAGCACTTTGGATACGAGGCGCTGATGCCCTACGTCCCGCCCTCCGACAGCCGCCTCCTGACGCACATGAGAAAGCTCTCGGAGCGCGAGAAGCGCCGAAAGCTGAGCCGGCGGAAGCCGCACGGGGAGGAATCCAGGGACTTTGGGGCCATGGAGGACTCCGACGAGGAGGACTCGGACGGTGGCAGGACCCTGATGACCGGGATGACCGGCCTCACCCGGATGTCCCGTTTGTCCCGGGCGAGCGGCGCCGGCAAGACCCTGAAGCGCCGCCACGCCGAAACCGCCTCGGTCGCCCTGTCCACCCGGTCCGGGAGGGCGAGGACGGCGGTCCGCATCCGGAGCGACGCGGACGGCAGCGTGACCGACGTGAAGGACCTCCGGAACGTCCGGTTCGCCGAGGAGCAGGACGACGGGAGCGACGACGACGACGACATGGAATTCGATGCGTCCGGAAAGCTGGTCGTCCGGGACACCGGCCTGGACGACGAAACGGCCGCCGACCCGAGCGACGACGCCGGCACGGTCCGTTCCTTCCGGAGCCGGCGTTCCCTGGCCGACCGATCGGTGGCCGGCCGGAACAGCGGAAAGGACTCTTCCAGAAAGAAGAAGGGCATGCCCAGGCCCGGTTCCGCCTACAAGTCGAAGAAGGCGGGCGGCGACGTCAAGAAGAAGGGCCAGAAATTCGAGCCCTACGCCTACATGCAGCTCGATGGCCGCAACTACTCGAAGAAGAATCGCCGGCACGCGGTGGAACAGATGGGTTCCGTGGTTCAGAGAGGGAACAAACGGCAGAAACGATGATTCCACGAGTGGACAGTAGTAGTGGTAGTAGGAAAACCGTTCTTCGTTTGATTGTCTTTTGTAAATTTAGGAAAGCTGTTACCAAACCAATGTGTTGTTCTATCGTGTTAGAAGCACTGAATCGCGTGTTGTGACAGATTGCCATAGCTGGAGGCAACACTACGAACAAACAATGATCGTGTTGATTCTTCTTCACGGAGCACAAGAACTAGCAGTCGTTCTACAAATTTAACACATTCGAGTCGATTCGATTCGATTCACACTTGGATTTTTCAAGCTGTGAAAGAAATGGTGGGTCAATGCCCGAACAAACAATAAGACTGACGTAGCTTCTTTTTGGGTAACTTCTTGTCGCCGCTGGACAGACAGGCGGCCGTGACGATGATCGTCTCTCCCTTTCGAGGCGTCTGTCCATGCTTTCGATCCGTCTTTCAGGTTTCGTTGGTCTTCTTCCTTGTTCCGATCTGTCTAGAGGCCCGCGACCGAGGTGTGTCACGGATTAAAGTATCACGGAGTACGTACGTACTGTACCCTGCTGTATCCGTTGTACCAACTTTCCGTACAGAAGACCAGGACCGTATCCGACAGTACTGTACGATACGTGCTGTACAGAATCCGTACGAAGTACTGTACCAAAATTGACACTTGTCATGGAACGCACGAAAAGATTCTTGATTTCCAACGGCACGAAACACGAATCAGCAGAAGAACTATTTATTTTCTCTACCGCTAGGTAAAGTACTGTACCCTACTTGTACGACATCAAGGTTCCGCCAATGTCCTTTTCTGGAGGGAAGCCTGTTCTCTACAATCGTCATCCTGCGGAACAACAACCTACAACCTACAATCTACAAGCCGACGACACAATACAAAAGAAATAGACGAAAACGATGAAAGCAATCATTGCATTCCTCGCACTGTTATCGGCAGCCGATGCTGCGGGCTCCCTCCGTGGGGAGGCCGAACCACGAGGACCTCCGATCGCGTGTTTGGTGAAGGGAGGAAGTGAGTGAAAAGTGAAGAACGAATCGTCTCGTCTCGTTTCGTCTCGTTGCAGTCTTTGATCTCTCTCACAATTTTTTCTCGCTGCCGGAATCTTATTCAACAAAATTTTGATCGATTGCATTCTATCTGTCCTATTCTATCCCATCCCAACAGCCTCCCAGAGCCAGTGCGATGCCACGACTTCCGAGGACGGATCGACCTGCGTTTGGTGTTCGCTGAGTAGCTACGGTGCCTGCGTGGACGAATCTATTGCCACCCAGATGAAACAGATGCTTCCGGCGCTGCAATGCGACAACGAGGATGACGACGACGACGACGACGACGACGACAACGCACCCGCCGCGGACGACGACAAGGCCCCGGAAGGAGACGACTCCGTCCCCGACGACGACGACAAGTTTCCCGACCGCTACTGGGAGTGCCGCGAGAAGTACGGAAAGAAGGCCGCTTGCACCGCCGCCGGGTGCGCTTGGTGCGACAACAAGGGCAAGGGCGGGTACGGAATCTGCGTGGACACGGAGACCGCCGACGGCTACGACGACCACTCGGTGTATTCCTGCACGATGCCGTCCGCGCTCGGGTTTGGATCGATCCCCGCAGAGGAGGCACCCGCAAACACGAGCGACCCGGGCGACTTTGCGTGCATTCTCTCGGCTGCCACCGACCAGGCATCCTGCGAGAAGACCAGCGCCGCGGACGGCCAGCCCTGCGAGTGGTGCTCCCTCCAGGGGGTTCCGCTCTGCGTGAGCTCCGACCAGGCCAGGATCGCCCAGACGGTCGGCGCCACGTGCGGGGAGGTAGACCGCGCGGTCCTCGACCCCTACGATCCCACCTGCCTCGCCGTTACCCTCCAGGGGGACGAATCGGCCTGCCGGGCCACGGTGGACGTCGACGGCGACGCCTGCGAGTGGTGCTCCCTTCAGGGCTACGAGTTCTGTGCGGACGCCGACCAGGCCGAGCTCGCGGAGCAGGTGGGAGCCTCCTGCAGCGACCGGGAGTCCGCCGCCGGGGAATCCGTGGGGGCCACGGCCCTCACCGATCCGAGCGACCCCACCTGCCTCTTTGTCACGCTGGAAGGAGACGAGGACGCGTGCAAGCAGACCATGGACGCCGAGAACAAGCCCTGCCAGTGGTGCACCGTCCAGGGGTACGATTTCTGCATGAACAGCGACCAGGCGGATCTCGCCGAGCAGGTCGGAGCCACCTGCAGCGATGGTTCGGGAGAGCAACGCGCGGAGCAAGAGGCCGGCCTCTCCGATCCCAACGACCCCACCTGCCTCTTTGTCACGCTGGAAGGAGACGAGGACGCGTGCAAGCAGACCAAGGACGCCGACAACAAGCCCTGCGAGTGGTGCTCCCTCCAGGGCTACGATTTCTGCATGAACAGCGACCAGGCCGACTTTGCCGAGCAGGTCGGAGCCTCCTGCAGCAAGGAGCGAGGCGCGGACCAAACGGAAGGCCTCTCCGATCCCAACGACCCCTCGTGCCTCCTGGCCACCCTCCAGGGGGACGAGGAGGCCTGCAAGCAGACGATGGACGCGACGAACAAGCCCTGCGAGTGGTGCTCCCTGGCGGGCTACGGGTTCTGCGCGAACGTCGACCAGGCCCAGATCGCCGACCAGGCCGGCGCGACCTGCGACGGTGTCGCACCGGGCATCTCCGCCGCCACCGCCTAGGGTGCGTCGGTGGGCCTTCGATCGACCGGCGGGGGCCTTTCGTTCCCCACCGAAGGGCCGGGCAAGGACCCGGGCGTTTGGGCACCGTGTTCGGGGGCCGAGAAGCGGTTCCCACATTCATAACAATTGCTGTATCCTACACACGCACATTGTATCATTGATCGACCGCGAAGAAAAGCTGGTGCGAAGCAGCAATGCCGGTCGGAGGATTCCGGACAATTCTTCCGTAGTTGTTGCTGTTGTTGTTGCTTGCACGGAAGGAATGCCCCTATGCCGAGACGATGCGATGGCAAATAACTAGGACTATGTAGTTTGACAGAATGCGCAACACCGTAAAATTTTTTCTGTGATATTTATTTATACAGTACACGGCGGCGCTCTGGATTGCTTCTCGCGCATGCCTTGCGTTGCATCGCATTGCGTTGCATGCCATTCGTCGCACAACGCTGCACCGCGCTGCGTCCCGCCCGTTTCGTCTCCCCCCCCCATCATCACCGGTGCGTCCGTCGTTTGCGAGCACCGCGGCCGGCGGCACGACGCTGCCGTAGCTGCCTACCCGGGGAGCAGCTCGACCCGCACCAGCCGCTCGCCGGGGACCATGGCCTGGGAGATCTTGCGCTCGACCCGCCGGAAGCAGCGGGCCGTGGGGGGCTCGGTGCTCGGCTCGGACGACCCGACCCGGTGCTTGTAGTCCGAGGGGTCGATGGATCGCTCCTCGAGGACGTCGGTCAGGATCAGGTTTTTTCTGCGGGGGGCCACGCGCAGTTCGTGTCGCGTTTCGTTGCGTTGCGTTTCGTTTCGTTGTGCAGAGGATGGATGTGCGTTTCGCCCGAAGAAGAACCACGGATCGGAACCAGTGCGTATGCGACGCAGGGAGGAAGGTGTGAGGCGTCATCGAAACAAAACAAGCGAATGGGATCATACGATCCGATCCGATCCATCGGAAGGAACGCAATTTCAAAGGCTCGTGCAATGCGCTTTCGACCTCCCTTGCTTCCGGTCGAGGCCTGCCACACGACAACGAAACAAAAGAGAACACGGGGGAAGGCATCAAACTGCGAAACGCACAAGAGCATGGCCACCGCAAGAACGACACGACAAACAGAGCCGCACCGCACCGCACCGCAACGCGTTGTCGTCGTCGTCGCCGCTACTTACAGCCGGTCGATGCAGATGAAGGTCCCGGTGAGCGTTCGTCCGTCCGTAAGGGTGCACTTGATGCGCTTTCCGAGCAGGAAGACCCTCGTGTACTCGAAGGACTCCTTCCTCCGCTCGCGCGCCATTGCTTCTGCGTCGGGGACGGCCGCCATGGCAGGAAGGATGTCTCTCTCTCTCTATCGGAATCGTCGCGGGGCTGGACGGTGCGGGCAAGAGGCAGCGTGTGGTGTTCTGTGACGGCGAACGGAGCCGGTTCGGTTCGGTCCCGGCTGTTGTTGCGATCGATGCCCTTTGCCGTGACATGCAATTGTTGACTCCCGGTTTTTCACTTCGCCTCACATTTTTATTTTCGCATGGACCCGAAGGCCTTGGCATACGAAACGGTGCGTTACTCGTACTTCTAGTACAGTACAGTACGTAACAGGGCCCAGTAGCAGTAGAACGGTTCGTTCTTGCTCGTTGTCGAGAAGATACATACCGTACGGTCCAGCACGCGTTAGTAACACTAGTACCTACCATTGATAGTATATAATCGTACCCTACGCTAGTATTTCCGTACCGTAGTGGGCCCAGTAAGAGAGAGACATTCTACCAGCCAGTACGTCCGTTAAAATTACGTACGGTACGGTACAAAAAAATACACAAAAATCAGTCTTCGCAAACATTCGCATCTCACAAAACAAAACACAACAAAAACCACAAGCACCAGCACAATCCAGACAGAGATACATCCTACCGCAGCAGCAACACCCGACCGAACATCCAAGCAGATCCCGACCTCTGGGATCCAACCACACGACAAGACTCGACTCGACACGACTCGACAAGGCACGACACGATACAGGACACTGCTCGCGGCATGCCCGGTACAACGCGCAACCACAAAGATCGGGACGGTTCCACCACCGAGCGGGAGGTGGAGACCAAGGCGGATGGAGCGTCGGCGTCCTCCGTGCCTCGGAGCAGAACGGCCAAGGGATCGTCGTCGTCGTCGTCCCCTTCGCCCGGGCCTTGCGAACTCCCCTCCGTGACGCTCTCCGTCTTTTTGTACTGGGTCCTCCCGGTGCTGGTGATCGCCTGCTCGACCCGGTTCCTGGTGGACCCGGGCGCCGCGGCCGGCCTGGGCCTCGGGGGCGGCTCGCCACCGGTGGTTCCCGCCCCGCCGACCGGTTCGCCCGAAGCTGCTTCGCCCCTGCCTTCCCCGCTGCCGGCGCCCCCGTCCTCCCTGCCCACCGTCCCGTCCCTCTCTCCGTCCTCCGTCGAGAAACCCAAGCGGAAGCAGACCCCGGTCCCAACCCTCGTGGCCGAAAAGCCGACGGCCTACGCGGACGCCGTCCGGGCGATCGCCCGCCGCCGCCTGGACTGGAGCAACGTCGACAGCAACCCCATGGAGGGCTACCCTTCCGGTCCCGAAAGAAAGGCCGGAAGCGGAAGTGGTTCCGGGCCGGGCGCTGGTGGCGGCGGCAGCAGCAACAAGAACACCGACAACTCCGGCGCCCGCACGAGGAGCTGCCGCGGTGGCGGAGACGCGAAGCCACCTCCGGCCGGTAGCCGCGGGGTTCCCCGGGGGGCTTCGATGGATCCCGTCCGGATAAAGCTGGTGGAAAAAATCGACGCGCTCAGGGCAAGGCACGAGGTACGAAGCCGTCCTCCGCGGCCGTTTGCGTCGCATGCTTTGCTTTGGCTCGTTTCGATTCGAACAAGGATCCCTGCCGGTCCCACACTGCCTCACACGTTTTTTCGGTCCTTTCTCGATCCTGCCATCTACCATGCCACAGGAGGATCCCAGCAACCTGTTCGACCTGATACACCTGGCGGACGCGCTCAGGCTCTACGACGTGCAATACCACGACGGCGGCAGCTTCCAGGAGGAGGCCATCGATAGGTACAAAGCAGCCATCTCCCTGGCCATGGCCACGCGCCAGGCAAAGCTGGATCGGGGCGAGGACACCCGGTCGCCAAACGTCCAGGGAGAGATGGTCCTGGACTACGAAGCCAGGAGCATCGACAGCATCCTCTGCGCCCTCCACACGTCCCTCGGAAAGGTCTACTTCATGTCGAACATGTTCGAGAGGGCCGTCGAATCCTACACCGAGGCGCTCGGGATCGAGCCCATGTACCTGGAGGCCATTGCCGCGCGGGGGTCCTCGAGGATCATCCTCGGCAAGTACCGAGAGGCGGGCAGGGACCTGACGACCGTCATGGAGCGCGACGAGAGCGGCATGTTCCTGGACGTCTACACCGGGCTGGCGCGCATCCTCCAGGCCCGCGAAGACGCCGTGCCCACCGGGTGGGGACCGATCGTCGAGCGGCTGCAACGGATGATCCCGCTCCTGGAAGAACAGCACGCGTCCCTCCACGACCACCAGCGGAAGGGGCGGCAGAACAACATCGCCCACGGCCTCAACCGCCTCTTCCACGTCCTCTTTATGTACCACGATACCAAGACCAAGGACACGGACGCGGCCTGGGAGAACCTCACCAAGTCGTACCACTACAAAATGGGGGCCCTTCCTCCCTGGAACGCCGGCTTTGAAAACCAGAAAATCTCCGCCACCAAACAGATCTTCAGCCGGAGCTTTTTCCCCGACGGGGTCGGGAGCCAGAGCGAGGTCCCGATCTTCATCATCGGCTTTGTCCGCAGCGGCTCCACGCTCCTGGAGCGGGTCCTCGATGCCCACCCGCAGATCGTCGGGACCGGGGAGAACTCGGTCTTCAACGGCCGGCTGGACGAGATCCGGAACAAGATCGTCGAGACGAGCCTGTCGGGGGACACGAACCAGCTCAAGAGGGTCATTGCGTCGCTGGCGGACGGGGTCGTCGACGAGATGAGGGAGCGGTGGAAGATGGTCTCGGCCGGGACCACCGGGGGCGCCGGCCCGGAAGAGGAGGAGACCCCCCTTCGCTTTACCGACAAGATGCTCACGAACTACTACAACGTCGGCTTCATCCACATGCTCTTCCCGAACGCCCTGATCCTCCACGTCATCCGGGAGCCCATGGACACGATCTTTTCGGCCTACAAGCACGAGTTCCCGGCGGGGACCCTCGACTACACGTCGGACTTTCCGAGCCTCGCCGAGCTCTACCACGGCTACCGCGACCTCATGGACCACTGGGACCGGGAGCTCCCGGGCCGCGTGACGCACGTGCGGTACGAGGACATGGTCCACGACATGCCCGGGGTCGCCCGGAGGATCGTCGCCGCCACCGGCCTCGAATGGGACGACTCGATCCTCGACTTTCACAAGAAGAAGCACGCCGTCAACACGCTCTCCACGACGCAGGTCCGGAGGGGGGTCTACAAGGACAGCCTCAAGTCGTGGAAGCGCTACGAGAAGCACCTGGGCCCGCTCCTCGAGCTCATCGGGGAGCGGACGTCCTGCGGCATCGAGACCACGCTTCCCGGCTACGAAAAGCCCCCGGTGGAGCACGCCGCTTCCGGAGACGGCGACCCTGGGGGAGCGCCGGTGGCCGGAGGCACCGGGGCCGCCCCATCGGAGGGCGAACTGTGATGCCGCCAAGAGATTCCGCCTCGAAATTAGAGATTTCGGTTTTTTTCCCGTTTGTTTTTTGTTCTATTGTATCGCTCTATGTTATTTATTATTAGTCAGTGAAGGATTGTTCGTACGGCAAGTGGTTGTCGATTTGGTAGAGTGCGCACCGCTCCATTCCATTCCGCTCTGTTTAGGAAGCATGGACCATGGAGTAGATCGTCACGCCGGTGGTCAGGATCCCGATCATGCTCCCGCAAACCACCAGGACCCAGGCGCCCACCCGAGTATGGTCCAGCTTCAGCCCCAGGAGTCCCGGCACCACAAAGCCCAGCAGGGAGCTCGTGGATCCCCCGAGCAGTCCAAAGACCACCGATATGTTGGGGACCACCAGCGCCAGGCCGAGGGCCAGGGATGCCAGCAGCAGGGTGACAAACGCGTGCCGGACGGGTCGGAAGCCCCCGGGTTCGTCGACGTCGTCGTGGCTTCCTGTTTCGTCGTGCAATGGGTCTTCTCCGCTGCCCGCCGCACCCGAGCTCTCTCCGTCGGAATTGTAGTCCAGGCCACCGCCGTTCGCCCGGTGTTCCTCCGATAGCAATGGTTGTCGGACCGCCTCGAATTCGGGTGGCAGAGACGACGACAACGACGCATTGTTGTTCTCTTTGGTGGTTTCCTCCCACATCTGGATCAGGCTGACACGTGCCGGAAAAATATTGAGAGGAAACGCCATGACCACCGCCAGTGCCATTCCTAGAAAGGCGGCGTGCAGCAAGGGCTGAGCGCCCCGACCGAGGTCGTAGTTCGACAACACGTTGGGCTCGACGGAGGCGCCAAAGTCGACGAGCGTCACGAGCGACACGCTCGCATACAGCAGGCCGCACACCAGGACCCCCGTGGAGGTGACTCGGTTCATGGTGGGGAGTTTTTCCCCGCCGCGGACGGCGGGCAGCTCGTCGAAAATCTGGGCCACGTTCACCTGGCAGCTGAAGGCGTAAAAGAAAATGGGGCAGGCCTGCAGCACCGACACCCAGCTCCCACCCGCGGGACCCAGCAGGGACGCGATCGACGCCGGCTCGGACGAAAAACTCTCCAGCAGCGTTTCGTCGTCGCTGTAGCCATAATCATTGCCTCGGCCGCCGCTACCGTCCCCACGCACCAAGTGTACCACGGCCGCCGCCAGCAGGGTTCCGATGCTCAGGATTCCGACGGAGGAGGCGCATTCCAAACTCCTCATTGTTTTCAGGCACGACAGGGGAAGCATCGCAACACACCACACCAGTGACATGGAAAGCTGCTTCTGGGAGGTCGTCAGCGACGGCACCACCCGCTCCATGATGTCCCCTACCGCGATAACGTAGCCGACGGCGGTTCCGCAGCAAAATACCAGTATAGAGATTTCGACAAGCTTTCTCGCGTTTCGGCCGAGCCCCTTTTCGACGATTTTTTCGTAGGTCGAGAGGTTGTAGCGATCACAGGCTTCCACCAGCAGTCCGATGGAGGACGAGGTGGCGAGGGCACTTATCAATAATAGCAACACGCCACATATAATCCCGGCTTGATAAAAGGCAAACGGCAGAGCCAGGCTATATACAGAGTTGAGGGAAAAATAAAATGAATAGCAGTGGAGTGAGAAGAAGGTTGCTTGTCGTGTATCATTTTGCAGCACAGTAGAAGCTTCCTTTTTTGGTTCCCTTGTTCTCTTTTCCTCGACTCACATTCCGGCCCCCAGCGTAGCGGAACATAAATTGGCGACGCTGCCGATCATCGTGACTGCTCGAGCCCTTCCTTCGTCGTCGCGGCTGCTATTGGCACTGCTTCTATTGGAGGAGGACCTGTCCACCGAGTCCTCTCGCAGCAGCGATTCGCGACGCGGTTCGAGTTCCAAGGACGCAGACATCCGACCTTCTTCCATTGTGTCAATTACCCTTCCTTGCGCTTCGGGATCGTCGTCGCGGGTGATTGGGATCGCACCGCCATTGTTTTCGGACAAGGATCGATTCGACGACATTTCGTGCGAGTAGTACGTAGTGCGCTTATTTTCAGGATACGAATGCAGTCTACAGTACAATGACTCCAGGTATTTCAGTTGCTGTTCTGTTCTGTAATGTGGTAATCAATCAGTTCCTCTGTTCGTGCCGATGACACAAGTCAATTGCAGCAGTTCGCAAAAATAATCGTTATGAACGTTGATCCGTGGACAGAAGATGAAAACAGGAACAAAGAATTCGAACCGAACTCTCGTTCCGGCAAAATGGTAGTATTCTGATGTCCGTCCTGTCGTGACGTGTAACGTTTCGGACACAAGAACAGTCGTTCTTTACGGTACAAAACGTTGAAACCTGTGGAACGCTAATTTATTTCTAGGGACTTTAATCCCCCCCCCCGCCCCCCGCCCCCCGCCGTTTCTTGATATTAAAAATTGAATCGAATTACAAACATTCTCCCAGTCTCTTTGTCAACGATCGCGTGAGAGGGCCCCTGATAAATGATTGGAAGTACGTCGTAGTACCAAGTACAAGTGGGTCATAGTGTGAATGATGTACAACGAACAGTACTGTACTGTTCTTCCTTAAGTTCTAACTTAGTCATTATGACCGTAGTCAGAATTTACCGTTGTTTTTACGGTTTTCTTTAACCAATGACAATTTTTGAAATACGTAGAATTTCGACGAGTGAATCAAACACACATGATGAAACCCGCAAGCACGAACTTCTGTAAGAAAGATAATTCCGAAAAAGCCAGCAGGTTCCCCTACTATTTAACCTCGTACGAGTTCTTTTGCGTTTGTGGCTGTTTCGCCTTATGTTGGAACGTTAGTCGATGACCACATAATCGCTAATCGCGAGTGAAACCTACGATTTGTACGTTACGCTCATCTTGTTTTCGTCCCTATCCATTATTTTGTCATCTGTTGTTTATGTTCGTGGCAAGAGACAAAGCATTCCTGTTGGCGACTTCCAGGAAAAACCACCCGTTTATCTTATCAAGAAGAGAAAAACAAAACACACTATCATGTGCAATCCAACCACGCCAACTACTGCTGTCGCCTATAGCGAAGAATACTGCAAGTCCATCCTAGTCACGGGCGGTGTAGGCTTTGTCGGCTCGCACATCGCCGAGGGCCTCCTCCGTCTCGGTCTCAGGGTCGTAGTCTACGACATATTCAACTCTGAGACAACCATCACCGCTGAGAAGCGCGAGAACGCCGAGATACTTCGTCGCACCGCCGAGGAGTTTGGTGGCGATGGTGGTGCCTCGCTGGAAATCGTCCACGGGGACATCCGCGACCGAGAAAGGCTGATGGAGACGATCGCCCAACACGGCATTACAGCGTGTTTTCACGTGGGCGGCATGGTCGACGATCGGCGATCCGTCTTCCATCCCGAAGAATACATCGACGTCAACATTCGTGGCACGGCGACCCTGCTCGATTGCCTCGGCAAGAGCGGCGTCAAAAAGGTCGTCCAGGCTTCTACACGAAGCGTCTTTGGACAGCGCGAGGACAGCGAGGTACTGCTGACCGAGTCGGCAGATAGAAGGCCCGTCAATCCCTACGGCGCCTCCAAGGTTGGTGCCGATGCCATGGCTCATTGCTACAGTCGTAAGTTCGAACGTGCTCCTGCTGTGTTTTGCGACTCGACATCTGTTCGCAAAGTCCATTAACGAAAACGATCTCGCTAATTCTCCTCGTGCTACTATTCTTTTCCCAATCAAATGCATCGGATGTTGCACCACTTCAGATTTACACCACATGGACGTAACGCTGGTCCGAATCTTCGCGACCTATGGCCCCAGGGGCCGTCCCGACATGATCCCGCGCATCCTCATCGAAAATATTGTCAACGACGTGCCCGTTCGCAAGTTCGGCAACGGCACCGCCACACGAACATGGATCTACATCTCAGATATTGTGTCCGCCTTCCTCTCTGCATTTCGCCATCCCTCCAGTGGATTCGCAGAGTTCAACACCGGGGCACCCAAGACCACCACATTGAACGAATTGATTTCCACCGCAGAAAAGGTTGTGGGAAAGAAGGCCATTATCGAGCCGTGCGAAGTCCCTCCCGGAGATGCTCACATCGTGGGCCATCCATCGTATCAGTTGATTCAGAAGACTCTGGGTTGGAGTCCCAAGGTGGATCTTGAGGAGGGCCTGAGACTAATTTACTTGGATTATACTAGTAGGCAGGTGGTGGTGGGCTGAACCAGCACAGTATTACAGTACCGATTGCACCATATTCTGTGCGTGCGTACTGTACCCCAGTGATTGTCTAGGAATCATAGGGTACCGCTCATATCTATGTATCATACGATCCACCATACCGGGGGATCTAAGAGGTTTAAGATAAAAAATTGACAGCATTTGAAATGCCAAAAATATGCCATACGCCACCAAAAACTAGCATACAATACCTGGTATGTACTGTAATACAGTAACACCACCGAGTTCGTGTTTACTTCTACTTCTCTAATAATCTCCGGAAGAAAGTATCTTTATTGATTCCTAAATTTAAATTTGTATGGATCTACTACGGAGACCGCCTGTTTCATAGTATTGCTCCAATCCATATCACCCCTTTGGAAAGTATCATGTCCTCCCCGTCGTCGTCTTCGTCGACTTGCCACGGACGCCTGGCCTACGGTGTCCGGCGCCTTCGCCCGGGTGCCGAACCTTCCTTCCAAAAGGATTTCGAGGCCTGGCTTGCCACACATAACGAATCGCGCCTCGCCGCGGCACTCGCCTTCCCGGACCCCTCCGATGCCCATCTCTTGCATCTCTTGGTGTGGGACGACAACACCACGGAGGAGGGTGCAGACGATGTTCTACTAGGGCCCGAGAGCGACGCCTTTGAGGAGGAGGACGCCGATGGGGTCCTTCATGTCTACGGAAGCGGAAGTGCCACCGGCGGTGCATCAAATAGCACGTCGACGAACCGGAAACTGCCCCCCGTGCACATGCAAACCCCCTTGGCGGGGTACATGCGACGGAGATTGCGCACCACGGCAGCCTCCAAAGATACTGGGAGTCTCCTCTTGATTGGCGTGTTTAAGCGTGCCATTCATTCCGGGAAACGCGACGATCTGGCACAAGCCTTTCAGCGCGTTTGCGATATTTGGTACAAGACGGTGCCGGGCATTCTCGCGGCCATGGTCTTTCCCGACCCGACAGATACTGGCTTTGTCCACGACATTCGCATTTTTGACGATAAAGCAAGCTACGACGCGCATGTGGACAAGTCCAACCCGGAGCTCACCCGTGCCATGGAGGAATGGTTCTCCCACTACGATACTTCGATTCCGCACAAGGGGATCATGGTGGCGGAGGACACCTCGGATCCGGCCATGCACACGAGTTCCATCAAGAAAAGACCGGTCAAAGTGGACTTCAATGTCTTCCACTACGGACAAGGGGGTTGTATGGGACGATGCCTGCATGTCACATTTTGACAGAATATAGCAGCTGCAGATGTGTAGTGCGAAGCATTTCCAGCAAAACGACAAGTGCAATACTCAATTTATTTTGCAAAGAACCCTCTTTCATTCTTGTTGGACACTCCGCACTCCAAGCTCAATCTCTGGTGAAAATAACGCGAGTGGAATCAACAGGAATACCAGCAACACGCATATCAATTTTGCAATTGCTTTTGTTGATGGATCTTCTTCTTGTCCAAGAACCATTGAATTTACGCAATGAAGAGCGGACGGATAAAAAAATAAGATGGGCCGTAAATGTTTTGGAATATTCTTGCGTTGCAGTACGTGGTCATAAGCTACTAACTCACTTTGAGTTTTCTGTTCAAAAAAATTCATTCGATTTATTTCTATTATATTGTTATCGTATTCTATTTGTCTACTGTGTGTTTGTATGTACATCGGATTGGATTCGGCGACTTGCGAATTCCACGAGTTGTTTTCCCACGTCCAGATTGTCGATTTAACAAGCCCTTAACTGTAGAAAAGGACCCAGTACAAATATTGTTTTAGTGTGTTACAGTGTAGCTTTTTTTTCACGATGAGACTGCTTCTTTTTCACCGACGTCGGCAGTATGAGCAGAGATCCAGCCGATGAGGTTGCAAAGATCAGAGCCGACCATGGCTTAACTAGACTAACGCAACAAGAGAGAGCTGAGAGGCCTCATCCTAACAAGGGAGGATCTGAAGGATATGATGGGCATGTTAGACTAGCAGAACTGGCGAGGAAGGAGGATGGTCTTCCTCCTGCTTTTGCTAGTGAATCCTCAATCAGAAGGTGGAGGAAAAGACTACACAGATACAGAAAGACAGGCAACAAAGAATCCAAAACGCTGGTAGGCTGGGAGCTCTATGATCTTGAGTTTCATCTATGGATGTATCCCGATTCATCCCTGGACAACCTTGCTGCTTATGTTTACAACAGGGGAGGGGGGGTCTATACTCGCTCTCAGATTCAGAAGAGACTTCAAGGGATAGGTAAGACAAGGAAGGTCGGAGCTACGGAGGCCTACAAAGCCTTCACTCCTGAGAACTTGTTCAGGGCTCAGATCTTTTGGAATGAGCCTCCTCCAGTTGGGATAGTTTGTATTCCAAGAAGGAAGTTCATTGATGTGGATGAATTTGGTATGGAGATCTGAAGAACCAACTGCAAGAGAGGATACTCATTATCATGCTTCCGCGTTAGGAAGCCTGGACACTGTGCAAGAGGCCAGAAGCTAACCATCTTGCTTGCTGTGATTAGATTGAATCAACTTTCAATTTATTGCTGGTCCTGAAATATTTCTATTATCGGTCCTTACTAGTGGAGACTACGCAGCGACGAAAATGCAACTCGACGGAAATGCAACTTCTTAATTTTTTTATTTTCTATGGAGGGAAAAAAATTGAATGAGGGGGGGAAATTAATTTTGAATTCAGGCCGGCTCTCTAGTAAATCCCCACACAAAAGTGCCATCATCCAATCCTGATTTTTTTCTTCACAAACAACCATTACACACACTCCMMCATGGTAGCAGTTAGCCACTCTATTTCTCAAAGTAGACATCAGATTTGAACACAATTTTTTGCAGACATTATCTTTATCACCTAAGAGATAGGAATAAATTGTTGGATTGACCAGGCAGTTTGATTTGACAGCAGCGCCAGCGATTTCATACTGAGAGCCCTGTGGCGGGATATTTTTGAGTGGATTTGTACCCCCCACACTGTTCGGACCGTATCTATAGTTCCAGAGCTCGGATTACAATAATTTTTGGCTCTAAATCATCAGCAGACACAGGAAAATAAGATTCGACTATCCATCGATTCAAAAGAGCAACGAGCGGACCAGCGCCAGTAAAGTGATACAGAGAGCCCTGTGGTGGAATACTTTTCAGTGGATTTTCACCCCCCAACACTGTTTGGACCATATATATAGTTCCAGAGCTCGGATTACAATAATTTTTGGCTCTAAATCATCAGCAGACACAGGAGAATAAGATTCGACTATCCATCGATTAGAAGGAGAGACTACCGGACCAGCGCCAGAGCAACAAGCGGACCAGCGCCAGAGCAACAAGCGGACCAGCGCCAGTGGGAATCAATTATACAACAAAAATGCCAACCACAGGAACAAAACAACAGCTCAAGATCCAGAGCATCATTGAAGGAAAGACCATCCTCACCAACCTTTCCCTCTTCCTGGATGAAGTTCTTTCTATTGTTGCCAGTGGTGAAAAAAGAGACTTGATGAAGTTGCCTCTGAAGATCAAATTGATGACAAAGGGAGTTGGTAAAGTGGTTGACCTCCTAGATCAAGCACTCAAGTATGATGGAAATTTCAGACTGGCAAATGACCTTTTGTCTGCGACAATGGCTGAAGAAAACAAGCAGAGAGTTATCAGTGAAAGGCTTCAGACATCTGTCAAGTTGGTAAACAAGAGGAAGTCTATGGTTGAAMMGGTGCTTGAGAAATCAATCAATCCAAATACCCCATCAATAGTATCACCTCCAGCAAAGAAACCAAGAAGAAGGACATGCACAAGGTCAGCTSATAGCATTGTAACCCAATTAGAGAATTATGAGAAACCCAATGTGGAAGGATCACGTTACTGTTTGAGACAATTGGTAGTGCTTACTCAGGTTGACATGAATAGTCCAGTATTCCATTACTCAGTCAAGCCTCTCATCCAGATGTTGAGTGAAGGGRAAAAATGTGTTGTAAACTACCACACTCTTCAAAGATGGATTAGGAACTACAATGRGAAGAAGCTTCTCCCACTGAAAGGTGATGAGGGCATTAGAAGAGGAAGGCCAGCACTTGTGTCAATCAGCAATCTTCCAAGTCTGAACAATAGAGTATTGCAGAATTCAKGGAAAGTTGACACTCTYCAGGATCTTTCAAATGACATTGTCAATCTTCATCAACAAGAGATGGAAGAAAAAKGATCWCAGACCATTGGAAAGCCCACACCTATTTGCAGTCATGCTCTTWAGAAGTACACCAGCCAATTGAGTTTCTTACCTGGAATATCACTCATCAAGCCATCTGGTGCAAGGTCCCAAGGTGCCAGAAGGCAAATGGCAGGCACATCAATGAGAAATGTGATGTCACAAGCTGCAACATTGTTAGTGTCCAGTTTTATCAAGGGATCCTATGACAAACCAAAGGGACTTCCCAAAGGTTCCTCTCTCGCTCATAGAGTAATGCAACAGGTTACTGGCCATGCCATGAAACCCATTCATACATTTCAGCACTTGAACTATGACATGACTTCAACCTATGTTTTTGATGGAG